TGTAAGAAACGTTCGATTTTAAGTTGACAGGAGGGCGGCGCGGCGCTAAGTTATAGATGACCCACGCTGAACTGTCCCGCCAAACTCAATGACAGGGGGGCGCTACAATCGTTCAACTTTATGGTTTCCAACATGGCAAAAATCGGAACCAGCGATTCGGTGTATTGACGGTGGCGCCCCGCTGTCAATGTCATCGATAGGACAGTTCAGTATTTTGGAACTATAGCTGCGATCTTCACTCTGGTTCCGCGCCTTTGACGTCATGAGTTGTTTTCTTGCGCCCATAGATGGCGCTAACAGTACTGTTTAGAGCAAAAGAATCCATATACCTGTGGGCAATAGCGGTGATATTCCCGTCGTGGTCGAACTCCGCCTTGAGCCCGCGCAGCGCCTGCCCCGCGCGGCCCACGTTGCCCCACGCTCGCACCACGCCGTCGCTGCCGCCGGATATCAGAAGACGTTCTAAAATCAAATTCAAATTCCTTATTACTTTTTAATTATTTTTTTTCTCTGGGTCTGAAGCAGGTGCTTTTTTTTTAATATAGTTTTTCACGGCTCTGGGTGCAAGCCCTTTTAAGCCAGACTTTGAAGTCCGTTGAACTTTAGTGGTCTTATTACTAGACCACAGAGGCGATTAAACTGGTGAAAAGGAAAGCATACCAGCATCATAATTGAGTGATTACTTGACAAAGCCACCTTTTTTAAGTGTGCGATTCTACAGTAAGGCGATTATCACACTGCACCGCGCTCCGCCGTGGTACGTGGGACGACAGATTTAATCATTGTATGCAAGTACCTCAGTTTGTATAGAAAACAGGCGCGGCACAACACACTGAAAACGCGTCTGCGCGCGGGATTCTTTATTATGTAGCCACGCGGAGCGCGGTGCAGTGTGATAATCGTCTAAATAGATCGCTGTGAAGTCACTTTTTCAGCAACTCAATCGACTACCTATTTAACGGTTTCAAAATCTAATTATACAGTTAATTGAAAACTAATTGGAATTTCAAGACTTAGGTTAAGATGGATTGTTTTTAGAGAAATCAAAATATAGATTTTTTCCAGTCGGTAACAAATGCGTCATGTTATTTATTGCTACTACATTATCTTATGTTAATGTGAGTTGGTGATGTATGGTTGATGAATAATTCAGTGTTTCAAAGCAAAGTTTAACATTTTTTTTACCTTTTTGTAGCCACAACAAACAACTGACTGAGTCATCATGAGCTCTAAAGCTTTCCACCTTTTTTCCGTATTCCACATCATACAAATATCTGCAATAAAAAATAAAATAAGCAAGGCCACACTATTGTAATTACAGCATTAAAATATGAATAGCAAGTAACAACTTCCTACTTTTTGGAAAGTTGAAAATTTGTTTTTTTATTTTATTTTAGCCTATCCAATAGTTCAGGATCATTTGTCAAAAGAACTTACATCTCATTGTCCCACGAGCCTGCGGCGACGGTTTGTTCATCAATCATCACACAAGAGCTCAACGGCGTTTCGCATAGTATAATACTTCTAATTTGTTTCTTTTGTTCTAAATCGTACACTTTCAGAGTGCCGTCCTTGCCCACTGAAATAATTCTTTTACCCTGTCTCAGCACACACGTCACAGCCTCTTTGTGCAGTCTTATCGTGTCCACACATTCCACGCTGTAGGACACAGCCACCGGGTCAGGACAGCAAAGAGGTTTGGCAATCTGATGGCCAACCTTCCTCACGTGGGGCCTGGTAAACAGTTGCTTTGGCACTTGCCCAAACTCCATTATTTGCACCTCCAAAGCGTGTCTGTCGTTCATGTCATACACTCGCTCAAGATCTACCGCGCCTTCGTAACATACATGATGAAATACTAGAAGTAAAAGATGCCATTGTTTAAACAATACACAGCACAACACAAATGAATGATAGTTATCAATATGACGCAATATTTTACACACCATTATTCGCTTTGACTGCTTCTTCCCCTCTCTGTTTGTATCCGAAAATGAGATCAATCCACAAATGTAAATGGCGAGAGACATATTCTGACTCCAGTGCCTGCCTGAGCTTCGAGACAAAGTCTTCTGGCGAATCGGCCCAAGGGGGCAGCGCCACATTATTCACTTTAGTGCCATCGTGGCGCTCGCCAAAATCTATTTCATATTGGTTAACTAAGAAATCGCCTTTAGAATCTACGTCATAAAACTCAGGTACCAATTCCTAAAAAATAATCATTATTAAATAGTGTCTGAAGACGAAAACATAAAATCAAAAGGTGAACTTTAATTATTTACCTTGAAATCAGACATGTTTCTCAAACAGTTATTGTAAACATCTCTGACTGAATTAAACATCCTATCAGGATGGTCAAATCTTCCGTTCTGTAGACACAACATGTACTGGGGGTATTTTCTTACCTGTAAATATTATATAGCAAGTAAAAATAACTGCAATATGTAGAATATGATAGTATAACAGTATTTTTTAAAACCTTTTCCAACTTACCAAATAAAATAACACAAGACCAGGAGCAGAATAATGAGATCCATATAAAAATTTAGGCTCACTCATCTCATAATATCTCTCCTTCAACCTTTCCAGGCGATCAGGATTTAAAGCTCCCATGGGTTTAGACAAGTCCCTAAAAGTATCTACTTTAGTGAGATCCAATTTTTCTGAGACATAGTCTGCAACCACCCATGGAAAGACAGGGTACTGAGTTAGATCATTTTTACTCCTATCTGCAAGGCTGAAATATCAAATTAATCATTTTTATGTAAATAAATACTTATCAGAGATTATAACAGGGAGATAGTGAATGAACAGACAAATCAATAGATATGAGAATGAATCATAGATATGGCATACAGTGATCAGATAAATTATCTTACCAGTTCAAATACATCAAGTAGTCATAGTTGGAAACCACCCCATTCTGCCATTGAAGAGTCATCTCTTCTGCATGAACTTTTTCAAGATGAACATTTGGAGACTCTTCCAATATATTATAAATTCTATCTCTGTCATCTTCACATTGGAATGTCAAATAGATGTGAGGTATTGAACTTTCTTCCACGCTGTATAGTTCTAAACCCTAAAATTGTATTACATTTATGAGAGTTGTCTTGTCTCTTATCAGGAATGAAACAGGATTTATTTACTTCTTCTGGTCTTTAAGACAAAATACAAACAATAATAAAAAGCCATTCATGTTAAGGAAAAGCAATAGTTAGTAAAAGCAAAATAATACAACGATACTTATTGATACATACAACTTGCCTTAGTAAAAATCTTCTCCTGTACATTCTTCTCAGATCACATAGTTTGAGCTTTAAAATGGGGCTCTGTAATAACAGAAAAACATTTATTACACACTAAACATCTCATCTTACTTAAAAATATTAAATAAATTCTAAAACTTGATTTAAACTTTCCATTCACATACAGTTTGTTTTTATTCATTGTTATTCAGTCAGATATAACTTATGTAATGGTCCTAATTAATTATTCAAATACAGCAAAATAATTACACTTTCAACATTGCTGAACGGTTGGAAGTAGATAGTGGTCGGGGTCAATGCCAATTTTCCTTGATGTCTCACTAGTGGTGATATCTTTTCAGCTTGTAATTCACACATTATTTCCTCTGTAAAATCATCCATCATTACAGGATCAAATACCATCCTCATGTAACGGGAATGCAAAATGGTCGCCACCATGCTGTTGTGCTCAGGGGCATGCAACGTTGAAGCCCTCTGCAACTGCTCCATTTGACTAAGGCACTCCTCAGCAGACGCAAAATCAAATAATATAAGAAAGTCTTTGTCCTCATATTTAAATTTGTACGGAGCCAATATATTTTCCTCAAGCATCTCTGCATATTGCTTCATTTTTACCTTAATTATATTACTTATTTGGTCTAACTTTGACTTCACAATAGTTATACTGGTACAATCTTTGAAATACAATTTAACAAGCGGAAATGTCCAATCTCTCGGCTCAAACACCAGTGACTTTGAGCACAATTTCAAACGACCTTGTCTGGCTTTCCCTTCCTTTAGGCTGTCATTGTCACTTAAAGTGCAAGAGAAATCTTCGAAATACACTTCACCTGGCTCTAAAAGCAACAGTGAAAATCTGAAAATAAATGTTTAAAGAATAAAATTGAGAATAAATAATAATGTATTGTAGGTACTTTTATTTCAGATACTTGGGTCGAAATACATACATAACTGATAGGTAGGTAGATGACTAGTTATTTCTTCAAAGAATGTAAATATTACTTTGGATATACTGTCAAAACTTTGTTATTAATAAATACAGGAGCAATGCACTGTTACCTTGATTTATCCATTATTATTTAACAAAACAGGAACAATTTACACGGAGAATTTCTCTTTGTTTGCGGCCACTGAGCGTAGAGAATGGTTTATACAAATAGAAGCTACAACAGTGGCTCTACTGGTCGTAGTGCATGAATAAATTTCATTCATGTATAATTAATTCACAAATCATTCATGAAATTACGTAAACGACTCCATAAAATCACAGAGATCCAGGACTTTCACAATAATCTTGAAAAATCAACACAAAAAGGTATAAAGGTAATCACATCAAAATCAAAGTAATCTTTGACATTGTTGACATATTTTCCAGATGACTAATTGGATCTCTTTATTTTAACGATTCATCGTTTCTGCATGGCAGTGCATAGATAACTCTGGAGATGTTATATTCAAATGACGAAAGTTAACAAAGTACAAAATTATATTTTGTACAATACTTTAAATGGCTAAAGTTGGTATTTGGTTGATGTCTGCAAAATAAACAATGAATAACAATCACAATACATTAGGACGCGGCGCGGCTATCAATTTTGTAGGTGTACCGTGTAACTAGGTGTAGTAACCATAGAGTAACGGTGTAACTAAATTATAACGTCTCCTTTAATAAACAAGAAGCGCGATGTTTGTTTATGTCACAATTTTTCACCGACCGTTAAAATAACAAATGTCAAAAAAAATGTAAACAACAAAAAACTTCGCATGAAATTATTTTAAAAGTTATTAATGTGTTTAATAATTAAACCTAGAGTGGATTAGCCTTACATTACTTAGCCGTAAAAAGCATAATTGAGACATAAATCATTTGTATTCACATAATATTATTTAGAAAATGAATACACTTCTTAAAATTAAAATGATGCGAGGAAGCTCGTACAAAGAAAAGCTAACACGGAGAACCCTCTTAGATTTATCAGATTGTATCAACGTCCCTGATGCTTACTTATTAAAGAATTGTGGTGTTAACAAAGTAGTGTTTCATCATATTTTACGGATATTGGAACCAGTAGTACCTAAAACTCAGAGATCAAATGGCATACCATTTCCATTGAAGGTAAAACCATTCAATTATTACAGTAGCAATATTTTAACAATATACTTATTCAATTTCTTCATCAGGTGCTTGTCACGCTATCATTCCTAGCAAATGGGTCACATCAAAAAACAATTGGCAAAGATTTTAACTTAAGCATATCCCAAAAATCTGTCAGCAGGGTAATTAAAATTGTGATTGAAGGCCTGAATGTGGTGTTAGATAACTGGATAGTATTTCCTTCAATGCCTGCACAAAGAGAACAAATTAAAGAGGGGTAAGTTTGTCATAAATTCATGTTTGTCCCCCTGTGAAATATTATTGTTAATTTAACTCGGAGCATTTATTTAAATTTTCAGATTTTATAGGAAGTATCACTTTCCAGAAACATATGGATGCTTAGATGGGACTTATGTAGAGATAGTTTGTCCAAGAGATGATGAAGAAGCCTTCTATGACAGAAAAGGGCAATACTCCATTCATGCACAAGTAGTAAGTCCATCAGTTTTAAAAATCTGATAATTTATATTCTCTTGTCCTCTTCCCATATTATAATGTAAAAAAAATGCTTTCAGGTATGTGATGCAGATTGCAGAATAATAGCTATCTGCTGTAGGTTTGGAGGAGCTGCTAGCAATTCTTACATTTGGAATAAAATGAATATAAGACTATTTATAGAGAATATTTACAGACAAGGTGAAGCTGGTTGGCTGATTGGTAAGTTTGTTTTTATACTAAAATATTTTTTTTACATTTTCACAGAAAGTAAACTAGTTGTATTATCTTTCAGCTGACAACAAATACCCTCAAAGAGCATGGCTAATGACACCAATATTAAATGCACCACAAGGCACCCCTGAATCTCAATACAATCATTTCCAAGGTCGCACGAAGACATGCATAGACAGGTGTATCAGCAAGCTGAAAGGCAGGTGGCAGTGTCTCCATAGAAGACCATTGCACTACACACCACAGAGAGCTGCTAAAATGATCAATGCTTGTGCTGTACTCCATAATCTGTGCATCAAAGCTGATTTGCCAGATCCTGAACCTTATGTTGACCCAGAACCAATGCCTGTTTTGAATGAAATGACTGAAATGCCTGATGATAATGTCAATGACTTATACATTGGGATGGAAATTAGAAGACAACTAGCAGAGAGAATCTATTACAGTGTTTAATGGAGTCTTTTAGTAGGTGTGAGAGTAGTTCATATTTTTTAAACATTTTCGATTTTAATCCCCTTCCTCCTATAAGACTGAATTTACTTATAATTAAGAGCTTAGCTCAAAACTTAAGCTATTACAATGCTAATTTGTAATAAAATATGGATAAAATATAATAAAACTTTTTTTATTTACCAAACTGTATAATTCTTAAAAGTTACAAATTACAATTAATGCATTAGGATTTGCATCTGAGCTAGTTGACTGTAGGTATCTCCAGGCATTCTGTATGCAATATTTCCAGCAAATGTATTGAGGACTTCTGCTTGTTCACGTAGCCACTCTACTTGCTGTAAATAGAAAAAACAGTAATTTAGTTTTGTTTTCATCAAACCATTGTAGTCAAGTCTTGATAATAAGCAAAAATAATAAAAAGTACATTATGGGGTTATCAAGGTCAGGCCTTCTAATATCTCAGTCGGCGATGATCATGCGTGGTCATCGGCACAATCATGATGCGTTCAACGCGATCTTTCGTACTACTCGATGCAATGCCTAAGATTAAAATTCAAAACGTTTATTTGCTAAAAACAGTGTGATATGCCAGAATATTATTATGTAACCTACTATAATAGGTACTAATTTATACCAAACGGCAAACGCTACGCTCATAGACATGAGGACAAGTGAATAAACCCTGTTTTATCGTCCGTAATCATATACAGAACGCAATAAGCACTACTACGTCACGGTACCTTGTTGGTGGCGTGGTGCGGCGGACGGGCGGCGCGCAACTTCTGTCGCTGCGCCAGCAATATGGTACACAGCGCGCGCAATACAGCGGGCAGGCTGCGCAGGAGTTCGCCTCGTGCCTGCCGCGCGCCGCTAACACGCGCTTCCAGCTCGTCGCTGCTTAGGGGCACCAGCTCGCATTCGCGCAGGATCTAGGAAAATTAGTAGTGCATCAGACTTATTTTAGACACAGGACGTCCACTGCTGAACATAGACCTCCCCTAATGACTTCCAGATTCATCATCATCATTACAGTTATAGGACGTCCACTCGCTGATCATAGGCCCAGTGATTTCCACATCGCCCGGTCGGTAGCGCCCTGCTACCTTTATGACGATGTCGGTCCACCTTGTAGTCTACAAGGTGGACCGACAAGTCTACCAGTTGTAGACTTCTCACGCTGCGTATTCCGGTACGTGACTTCCAGATTGACCGGTTAGAAGTCTCAATATTTTATATATTCTCAACAGCTGAGTCACGAATGAGCACATTTCTGAAGTCATGATCAAGCCTCAATATTTTATCAATTCTCAACAGCTGAGAATTTTCAAACACGAAACACATTTCTGAAGTCATTATGCTCACCTCCAAAGCCGAGTCGTAGTTCTCAGCATGAAAGCGGTCAAAGAAGGTCATCAGCTTGCACAGCTTAGTATACGCTTCCACCAGCGCGGCGGGCAGTGCGGCCGCGTCGGCGGAACGCAGGCGCGTCGACACGTGCTCGGCGAGCGGACCCAGACGCTGCCGAAGACCGGAGCCGCCGCCGCCGCCGCCGCTGTTCACCACTTGAGCTAGCAGCACGCAGAATAGCTCGAGAACCTTCTCCAAGTTCTGGAACAAAAATAGACCATGAGACGAAATGGACGAAACTCATCCAATCAATAATGACTTATTACTTCTTTTGGATTTGAAACGGAGCCGCGCCGTTACAATTTTTTTACAGATAGATGAATACACATTTGTAAAAAAAAGTATGTCATTATGTCAGACAGGTTGGAGATAAGAAATAAAAATCTCTGAGAAACTTACCCCTGCAATGTCGTACATTGTGATAGCATCTTCAAACAGTCCTTTGTTCACGAGTTGTTCAGCAACATTCAATGCTATGACCTGCAAGAAGAAACAAAATTAGCTGCTGGCCAAAATCCCTAACAATATTTTTTAGAAAGTCACGTTTTTCTTTTTGCATTTGCTTGTACTTTAACATAGTCGGAGGGAGCGGGTAGTGTGGTTGGGTACCTATGCCGGCGTCGTTAAGCGGAAATCTTAAGCTAAGTAATTTTATCTTTTTTAATATCTAAAGTCACAAAACTTGTCCATATCCAGATTATTGACAAAAGAGTGTGTAATGTAAGATTTTAAACTTTCGCGTTCCATTTCAACTAAAAAATAGAAAGCTACGGGTCATAACGCGACGTTTATTAATTAGTTACATTATGTACTCACGGCCCGAACAGACGATGCTTCGAGTCGCCAGTCTGCTTGTGACCACGGCTGCAGCATAGCAGCCGAAACGTCAAGCCGTGAGTACATAATGTAACTCATTAATAAACGTCGCGTTAAGACCCGTGTCTTTCTATTTTTTATTTGAGTATGTAATGTTTCTGGACCAAGTAACGCACCTTGCTGTCGATATGCGGGTTGTTGAACTGGTCCAGTAGGCCTTGGCCGCGCAGGCCGGCCAGCGCGTCCATGCGGCCGAACAGCAGCTCGTAGTCGCGGCTCTCCAGCGCCAGGTCGGTGCAGCAGCACATGAATAGGTTCTTGCCGCTTGGGTCTTTGAGGTTTCTGCAACGGAACGTAGGTTTTACTTTTAATAGGTTGCTTACATGCAGCCTAAAATTTGTAAAGAAACGAGGTGCGTCAGCGTTACTTTTCGATTTCGGAGCGATAACAATGCTTGTATAACATAATGTAAGAATAACGACAGTCCGAACGGTGTATTCCGATGTGCGTGACTGCAACGCACACCGACACACTAAAAAATAGTCACCGTGTCATAGCATTAGAGAGGGCTCCAAACAGAATAAATGTAACAAAGGCCAGCTATTTAGGTAAATTCTAGTAAATACTAAAGTGGAATAATTGTGACAACTGCATAATGGAGGATGCTCTCACCTTAAAAAGAAGTAGTAATGTAAAGCATCTGATGGGTCAGTGAGTTCGAATTTTCTGACATACAGGAGCAGCAGTCTTGCGAGATTGAGGCGCCGCAGCGGCGTTGGGTCATCTGTGTCCACTGACACTAAGAACAAAACGATAATTTTGAATAAAAAACCATTTTAGCACTAAAAAAACGATAAATAACCAAAATAATTGTTATACATACGTAATGGCGCTTGAACGTTACGCGGCGTGCCCAACAAATATACATCGTGAAGGGCTAAAGCCATGTGGACACCATGCACTTGATATCTGGAAGAATAGTGGGTAATGTATGACTTTAGTCCTGCTCAAAAACAATCTGCACTAAATTATAACATTTTCAAGCATTACCTTGGTATTCTGGACAAAAATTCTATAGCTGGTTCAAATTGCCCAGTCAGGGCCAGCACTTGGAAGTAAACTAATGGTTTCTCATAGGCATGGTAGTGTGTTTCACCTAAAAAAAACCTTATGATTAATTATCAAATAATCTAAAAAATTATAAACATATTTCTATAAAGACAAATTGTTACCATATTCTTCTAAGATCAGTTTTTGTAGGTCTGAGTACGAGAAAAATTCCGAATCGTTGTTGGGTCGTGATTTGATAATGGACAGCTTCAGCCAGAGGTAGTCATCGGCGGTGCGTGCTACTTCTGAATGTTCGTCGGTGACATCGCAACAGCCTACGACACAGTACACCTGAAATAAGAGATTGAAGGTCAAAAATTGTCTGTTTACGATTGAAAAACACTTCTATAAATTACATAATAATGAGGGATAAAATAACTATAAACATAAAGCAATGCTAAAGGAAAAGTATTGTGTATTCATTTCACTTACAGCTCTTTTATAAGGATCTGTAGAGTTGCGCACTTGAATCCTGTACTGGAAGTTAATAGCAGTCTGTAGTTTATCACTGAGAGGTTTCTCTGGGCTTCTTATGTGCTCTTCTAAAGCTGCTACAAACTCTTCATGATCACGTCTGAAAAGTATAAACAAAGTGTCGTTATTTTTAACAAACACAAAAGAGTTTAGTTGTAATAATCGGGGTAGACGGTGGAGAATTGAGACATTAGCAACATTTACCTAATTATAAGGAACAGACGCAACAATCTGATACTACAAAACTTTTAGCACACTTTATTATTAATTTTTTCTTACCCGGCTTTCCTCAAGCAATGAAGTGCTGCATTAGCATCTCCGCTTCTCAAACAATAGTAGATCATGGGCCAGAGCGGTCGCTCATCGATAACGCCGTCGGTGAGCCCCTGGACGTTCTGTCCCTGCAGGCGGAGGCCTACGAACCCGCGAACAAGTGGGTACGTGCCTGGTTCGCCGCCGCGCATCGCCGCAGCCGGGTTAGAGCGGACCACATCGCTCATGTACTGTTTGTACCTGAAAAGATGTACTGTTGATTGTAGAAGTGTGTACTGTTGATTGTAGTAGTAAATAAGTAATAATACAAAAACATCATTTTCAATAAACAAGGGCTTATCAGTTCACTGAAGAGAGGAAACAGCTGATATTGATCATTATGATTACTAATAAGTAAGAACCTTTGAACAAATGGAGCAATAAAGAATTGAATTGGAAAATAATACATCTGCAATACAAAAATCCGAAGAAGATTTTTTTCTTTTTTATCACAAAAATGAAATTGATAAATATCCACAAACCTCTTTTCCAAATACTTCTTCCCTTGTCCTATCAAACACTGCTGTATTGCAGAGTTGCCCCTTGCCTTCAGGGGATCCTCATCTCTGACCAAAGCAGGAATGTTAGCCATTGTCTTTATGACCTCCCACATTTCAAGTACTTTCTGTAACAATAAAATTGTGGTACACAAACACCATAATACTAATATTATGAATGTACTAAAGAACATGATTTAAAACTTCTAATAGATGTCATATGCAATATAAAACTATAATAACCTATAAACATCAAACATTAACTCAAAATAAACTTACTGGATCATTAAACTCTTCTGCCACCTGTGCAAACTTCTGGTGAAGCGCTGTTCTTGACTTGGACCCTTGGAACACAAGCTTGTTGTACTGGTGCACTTGCCGAGCATATGCAGCCTCAATGTTGTCCAACATGGAATGCCCAAACTTCTTGGGAGTGTCAGCAATGCTTGGAGGCTCAGGAGTACGCTTCAAGTCCAACCAGTTTTGAGAGGGACCAATCATCGCATTCATGAGCTTAATCTTCTCCCTGTTCCATTCTGACATCATGTGTTCCCATTTTTGATCTTCAGTTGTTTGCAATGACTAGGAAGATACAAAATAAGTTACATTCAAAAAGTCAATGCATAAACATTTGGAATGCAACTAATAAATAATATAAAAATTTACTTACATTTTTGTTGACTTCATCAATAAGTGAAATAATGGCATTTTCTCTTTCATTACGCAAAAAACTTTCGATATCAGAATCGGCGATTGGCTGTAGAGGTTCAAATGTGCGTTTGGAGCTCAATGTTTCAAGTTTCTGAGATATTTGTTGTAAGTCTATCCCTTTCGCGCCAAACAATAGATGCCTGGAATATTAGATGAGTATTTCTTTAACTTTCTAAATGAAGATAATAATATTTAGTGATAACAATACATACGCTTGAATGTCATTGCCGCCAGACTGAATGACTCTTGAATACAGTTCTTGTGAAGCCTCGAGGACCTGACCAAGGGATCGCTCAACCCTAGGAAGTTCTTCATTGCCTTCTATTTCAGTAGTCAACTGCTCTGCTTGCTGCAAAAGTTTGCTAAAATCTTCATCAGCCATGGTTTTAATGTATAGGTTATGTCTATAAAAAATCTTGAATTATGACGACTACATGTACCACACACTGCGATGTTATCCCAAATAATAATGAATTATGCACTTTATATAAAGTTTTGTTAGTGCTTTATGATTAAATCTCAAAGAAAGAAATACAAAACACAACACAACCGGCGGGCGACGCACTTTTCAAAATATGACATGACCACAGACGTTAGACAGATCACAGACATGACACTTGGCTTGGACAAATAAAAAAATAAAGAGGACAGTTATGATGACGACGCATTTTTTTTCTTGGCTTTCACGGTTTGCGTTTCGTCACAACACTCACAACGGAGTTTTTTTTAAAACTATTTGGGTGGAGAAGAATCATATAATTGTCTATGGTATATAGTTTTTAGCGGGAAATCCAAAAACAAGCATGGCTAAGCTAGCAAAGCTAGACTTTTCTTCAATCATCAATTTATTAAATTGCTATCGTTTGTTGATGTATTAAAATATAGGTGATTGTTAGATGTTGTGATGGTAGCTCTTTGATTCTTATAAAGTACTTTCAAAGGGGGCAATTAAATTAAATAATGTCTTTCATTGTTTGTCTTTAATCATAATAAACAGATAAACATGTACTTATTTATTATAAAAATACAAAGGAAAAGATAATTCAGCTTTGCGATCAAACCAAAATATTTTAATTACAGTATATTACAATGTTAACAAGGTAATCTAAGCTGGCAGTAATAGCGAAAATGATTATACATATAGCCCAATGCGTACATTCAAATAAATATGAATATTTTTAAAAGGCCACAAGAAAAAAATGCAAAACGAAAGTATAACATTATTCAGTGTTAAATCTATTATTTATATTTATTATTGATATACAGGGTGTTAGGTAAATTGGTATATGAGCCGACACTAGCGCATGTTAACATGGTCATATAAACGGTATGGTGAAGTCAGAAATTTGGTGATATAAAATTTCTGACTTCACCATACCGTTTATATGACCATGTTAACATGGGCTAGTGTCGGCTCATATACCCATTTACCTAACAGCCTGTAGACTACGGCAAATAGAGATATATGTACGTATAAGAGACTTTCAGTTATCAACACGCCCATGAAGTTTAATTGACGTGAATCTGAGACGTGATTTTTGTCCTACTTTCTAGACTTTAAATAGTGAGTCGCATTTCGCCTTAGTTGTTTGCATAAGACTCCTAAAGAAACAGCTATTAAACCGGGTCCAAATACCACTCTACTTACTACTTGCTGGTATTTATTTATCGGTCTTTAGACGCTTGAATAAAGGCAACCACGACTAGTTTATCATAAACTTTTCGTAAATCAATTTTCCTTTGAGGGAATCCGCAAATTCGTCAGGGACTGCGGACTGACCGACTCAACTACTGGTCGTCGAGCTGTCAGTCAGCAGGTGGTATATATCATTTAAATTTTTTGGGTCCAAATATGAGGTCGGCGTCGGGAGCTCCCTTCGGGTGTTGGTACTTTTGACGCACGTGCTGCCCTCTGTTGGGATTCCCAATACCGCCTGATCCTCCGCCACTTTCAGCGCTGTACTCTTCCTCTTCTTGCCTCTCGGAGATGTTCAATGTCAACCTGAGGTTAAAAAAGTAACAATAAATTGTAAAGACAAGATACAATGGATACTGTCTTAAAATCCACATAGTACAAATTTTTTGTTTTGATTGTACAGCTCATACACATACCGTTTAACTCTCTCCATCTCCTGTTTATCTGCCAACGCCTGCTGTTGCAGATTGCTGGCGAGTTCAGGAGGCGCGTTAAATGACTTGTATTGCGGTTTCGTGCCTTTTCTGACCATTAACACAAATTCAACTCCTTCTTTGCCTTGCTGTAAGGAATCATTGAACTTTTGTGAAAGTTCAAAAAACAGTTCTAAATTACCTTTTCTAAATTCAATTGAACAAAGATCATAAAATAATACTAATAAAACTTGAAATAGTTTAAACAGCTGTAAATACATACCAGTAACTGTTCATAAGTCTTCTTAGTAGTCTGTCGGCAAGTCATGGGCACGGCGATGTCACGCTGCTGAGGTCTATTCTCGCGTTGTCTTTCTGCTATGTTCTCCATTACCATTTTCTCAAAAGCAGACTCAAATTCGACGTCCTCGACCTAGGAAAGAAACAAATAACAATCAATAATTACTACTGGCAAAATACGCACTTTAAATTACGACGAATGTAACGTTTTCTTACCGGTTTTGGAGCAGGTCGTCTCGCTTCTATAGTGATATCATCAGGATCTCCCGAACCTTCATTTTCATCGTTACCAGTATTTTCAGTTATAGGCTCCTCATCCGAGCTCTCCTCGGGCAACTGTGGATTGTCTGTTTCATCATCTGTCTCTATTATCGTATCCAACCCATCATTGACGCTGTCGTCTCCTTGATCTTCATTATCATACTGTTCCTCTTCGCCTAATTCAGGGTACAACACTTGCCTCAGATCCTCTATTGCGTCTTTACATTGTTGCCAACTCGTATACAAAGTCAATTTAGGCCTCAAGGTGGTCAGACATTCTTGATAAATGTACTTTACATAAATTGGGAACTTGTTATCGTCATTCCAGTAAGGATCTGAATACTTCACCCAATAGTAGCTCTGGAAGAAAGTCAGGAAGTAATCCAATCTCTTTTTGCTGGATCCGCTGTTGAAGTAAGCGCCACAAGTTTCAAGCAAAGCACAAACGAGTCTTATTCTGAACACGTTGTCTGGTGGATCGAGAGGAGAGACATTACCGGGATCGCGAGTTGCGCCCAGAGTAATGAATGAATACAGAACAGTGAACACATCGCGCGAGTCCAGTAATTTGTAATTGTACAACTCCCCTAGATATCTGACAGTGGCTATCCTTCTTTGATTGTATCTAGGATGGGGGTCTTCCATTGTAACGCGTATTTCTTCCAGAATAGTGTCGACAACTGCAGGAGCCACTGCTTCTTGCCAAGCTGCCAGTTCTGCAGTCAAACGCGCGAGGGCTCTTCTGGCACTAGCCCTGACTCTCCATCCCCCAGCCAAATGGGTTATTGCAATGGCCGATATATCTGGATCATCCCAGTTTAGTTTTCGCATCAACCTGAGGATTTTCTCTTCATTGCTTTTCTGCAAGTCCTCATGAAGTATTTTACGTATGAATTGATGCATAGGAGGCTCCTCTTCCTTGGGTTGGGCAGGCGCTTCAGGTGGACAAACGTAATAAAATGCATTTTCAATTTGCGTTACATAACGCGAGTCTAGGGCTGAAACAGTCTGAAAAAGGAAAAATAAGATCAATAGTTATAAATATAAGGGGAAACATTTTAACACTTTTTATAGCTAGTAGATTTACCTTTTTCCTCATCATTTGCTGTAAGTAGATCATTGTTCTTTGGTGTGTGTCTGGATTACAGTATAAATATCTACCACACGTTTCTAGTAGGTTACATGCCATTTCTATATGATGGTGCTTGAAGTCATGTAAAAGTACTTTTAAGCAATACAATGCTTCCATTTTGGAGTACAATCCAAATTTGACCAATTCACCAATAAACCTCACTACTTTAATCTGAAATAAATCAAGGATTAAGATACAATATTCTATACTCATTTAACTTATTAATATCTCAACTTATAGTGATATTAATAAAAAAGATAAAAACCTTAGATTCAATGTTGATTTGATCCTTTTTCCTGACATGGTATCTGAAATCTTGTTTTAGCATTTGGCAGAGATCAACACAGACATCGGGCAGTACAGGATAGAGTATAGCAGCAAATCTAGAGTAGAACGGCAAGAGATCAAGCCTTGTTCGAGCTACGCTGAACAAAACCCTTGTGAGTTTTTTACGGTTGTTCTTTGTATTGAGATTCAGTACGAAGTCGACTGCTGCATTGTCAATAAGCTCCCTGTTTATGCAGTTTGGCAACTCATTTAGAAAGACATCCAAGGCATATCTGAAAAGAAAAATAGGAATGAATTTAAAAATAAAATAAGTTTTTCTAATTTAAAATGACATAATTATTATTGTATTTTTTTTCTGGAACACAAACTTGTTAGAGATATTAGCTGGCTGAGTATCTTCTTGTTCCACATCTGGAACTGTGGGAGGTTCTTCACCATCACTTAGTTCATCCTCCTTCAGGTCCTCATCTAGCATTTCTTCAGTGACAGTCTCAGTGCTTTCACTGCTCTTGCTTTTTACAGGCTGTAATAAAATTCCAATGTATTAGACTTGTGTGAATGAAGACTTGCAGACTAGAGGTGCAAAAATGATAAATACCTCCTTCAGTTGGTAGTTGGGCATGAAAACCTTTAAATCGGGTAAACTAGTATAAAATGTTCTGGTATCTTCATCCTGCCATGGGTCTGTTCCAGCTTGCATATTGAACTCTTCAGTGCCTCCTATAGTCACAGTTCCTTGTGTTTCAGTCACCGTGAGAGTGAGGGTAGGTGGTTCACCCGCTTCACCCAATTCTTCTCCCAACACTTCAGCAAAGTTTTGGGCTCCCATTAGTAATTTGTCATATGTAGCCTAAAATAGGTATAATTAAATATTTACTTCATTGAATAACAATGAATAAACACTCATCATTAGGTCATCCTAGTCTCCACAAAGAAGGAAGACTATTTATAAGAATCTAATGAACAATTTTGAGTGATACACACTCCCCACACTGGCTGGACAGTAAAGAATAATGAGTAAGTCATATTTATTTGAGTTACATTTACCTGATGCTGTTCTAATTGATCTTTTCTCTCTTGAGACAGTTCACCACGAGTATGGAGAGTTCTCTGGTTGGCTGCATGGAGCGCCTGCAGTTGTGCTCTCTCAGCCATCAAATGCTTGGTCAAAGAATTAAAGTAGTCTTTGAGTAAAGTTCTCACCACTGCCTGTTTCTCTGCAGGCAAGAATGTGTTTCTTGGTACTGTAATATTATATTTCTGAAATAGAGATTACACAGTTTGTAGAAGTTACGTAAATTAATTTAATTAATTAATTATTGCTGTATTTACAAACATGTTATTTCACATTTCAACAAGTTATTACCTTGATTAATAAGTAAAATCATTATTCAGCATGGTTTAAGAAAAGTCTTTTTTTATTCAAGAGTTATCATTTTCAACTTACCTCTGAAGCATCCCTTATTTTTTTAGGCATAAGCCCAGCGTAATCTTCTCCACAGTGTTTGCAAAAGGATAACAAAATTGGTATATTGTTATGCTCTTCTTTATCCATATTAATAAGTACCGTAAGTACATTTCCCAGCAAAGGTAAGCCAGTTTTATTAGCAAATATACCTACTGCCACTAGTTCTGCATAAAATCGGATATCTACTCGCAGTTTAGATGAGTTGGCAATTTTGTCTGTAGCTTTAAACGTTAAAATTTTTTGCCAGTTTTCAAAGAAATTTGATGAAAACTCAGCATAAGTCCGATGAAGAGCTGAACATAAATTTATAGCTGCTGGTATATCAGACATCTTCATTTTAGCCTCAGCTATAGCAGAAGCTACCTCTGAAATATACTTAGTCAAATTTAAAGCACTAAAATCTTTGAGAAGTGCATCCATTTGAGTAGCACTGAACGATTTTAGTTTTTTCACAAAAGTAGTATTTTTCTTTAAACCGGAATCTAGTTTAGAGAAATGATTATCCGGTGGTCTCACACAATTCAAGTTTTGTTGTCGCATTTCCGATTTTTGTTTGATTCTGGCTTCCAGGTTAGTAATGTATTCGTGGAGCGCACTTCGTTCACTTTCTTCTGTATTTTCCGCTTCATTTTCTGGAGTATCATTATTCTCCGTTTCTTTATCAACAGTCGTCATATTAATTAGCAGAAAATCTTGATTTTTGCAGAATTAATTACGAAAATTACAAGTAAAACAAATTGTGTTTTTGTGTTACACAAAAATAGGCAATCAATCAGCCAAATGTCAATGTGACAATCTTTAGACATACTCTCTAATCTGTGGTGACAATTGACAGCCGGTGATAGCAAAAGAAAAAGCATTATAAAAAAAACGCAACTATAACCGTAGCATTATACATTTTTTTATTCTAAAGAATGGAATTGTCTATGGATTTTATTGTTTAATCTGTGGATGTCATTGACAACTGTCAAAAGCCACCAGCTGTCAACAGTGTCAAAACAACAAATGCTATAGATGACCCACGTTGAACTGTCCCACCAAACTCAATGACAGGGGGGCGCTACCATCGTTCAACTATATGGTTTCCAACATGGCAAAAATCGGAACCAGCGATCCGGTATTGACGGTGGCGCCCCACTGTCAATGTCATCGACAGGACAGTCCAGTATTTTGGAACTATACGAATTTTATCGCAAAAATCGTTAGCCGTTGTTTATTAGATAAAAAATAGAATTAATTCATTATAAAAAGTCAATCAATAACGCTTAAAATGCAGTCGGTGCCAACGACTGGAAGAGGAGATATTCATCTTGATTTAAAACAAGTCAGGGTGGACATTTGTCTCGGAATCAGAGAATGTAGAGATCGAGGTCTGATACAGACCGCTAAATGGCTTGCAGAATTAAATTACGCTTTAAAAGATAATAAACTGGAACCAGAAGACCTTCCTGATAATTATGATGACGGCATTCCTATGGAGGAGAAAGAAGCATACATTTTGGCCAGAACTTACTTTGATTGTCAAGAATATGACAGAGCTGCTCATTTCCTAGAGAATTGCACTAGTCCAAAGTGTGTCTTTCTTCTAAGATACTCACAATACATGTCCAGCGAAAAAAAGAGGTTGGATAACGCTGCAGACTCAGGAACAGAAAATGCAGAGGCTAATCAAGTGTTACTGGATTTACTATCTTTCTTCAAGGTGGGTTATAAATACCGACCTGTAGTTTATTTATTGAGGTACAGCAACAGAATGCAAATTAGTTTTAACAAATATTTACATTACACAAAGGTACATCAAATAAATTTACAACAACTGTAGCTATAACTGAACTATAGATAAATGGGTAATGCTGTATTAAATTTCTAAAACATTTTGTTATACTGATTGTATCACACACTTCCTCTCTCTTTTAGCTGCTTATAAAATTAATTTTATAACATTTCAGGCCAACAAAAACAACCTTGATGGTTACCTTCTCTACTTAGAGGGTGTTGTTTTGAAGAAATTGGAATTGAGAGGCCAAGCTGTTACCGTCTTGCAGAATGCTGTAGCTGCAGCGCCTACGCTTTGGGCAGCCTGGGTGGAGTTGTCTGGTCTAGCCAATGAATATGAAGCCTTAGACTCCTTACAGTTGCCGGAGCATTGGATGATGTACTTCTTTGCTGCGCATGCAGCTGTGGAACTAAAGCTGTCTGATCAGGCGCTGGACGCCTATTTAGCACTTGTTGGCGGAGGTTTCCACAAGAGTACTTATGTTACTGCTCAAATGGCTATTGCTCATCATGATCGAAGAGGTATATTATTTTTATTTATGTATTTGAGTATTTATATTATTTGATGTTGTCAAGAAAAAAATGGTATAAATAAACCTTCACCATACTTATACTGTAAGAGAAGTAATAACTCTAATGATATTTTCTACTTCTCAAGCAATACTCCAACATAATTTTTTGACAGTGTGTTCGTATTATTATTTTTTCAGATGTGGATACGTCATTGGCATTATTCCGGGAACTATACCAGGCAGACCCATACCGTCTTGATAATTGGGATGTGTACTCCCATCTGTTATATTTGAAAGAGAAACGGATGGAATTGGCTAACTTAGCACAAAGGGCTGTGTCCATAGATAAGTATAGGACAGAAACTTGTTGTGTTATTGGTAAGTTATTTTTAAATCAATTTACAAAACCTTAGTCCCTTATTCAAACTAAATTTTTAATTTATTTATTACTGTTTTTATTATTTCAGGTAATTATTACAGTCTAAGGAGTGAGCACCAAAAAGCTGTTATGTACTTCCAAAGAGCACTTGCACTGGATCCCCAGTACCAGTCAGCCTGGATCCTAATGGGCCATGAGTTCATAGAGTTACAAAACTCCAATGCTGCTATACAGTGTTATAGGCAAGCTTTAGGTAGATATTTTATGTAATTTATTCTTGAGATAAATGATAAATTGAGGAAACCTTGATTCTGGGTTAAAAAGCCAGTACAATTTCTTCCTGGAAATTATAAGATGTTAATATTTTACTTCTGCATTGTAGATTGTTAATAACAATACTGATTTGTTTACTTCCAGATGTAAATAGGAATGATTACCGCGCATGGAATGGTCTTGGACAAGCGTACGAAATACTGGGTTTGAATGGTTACTGCATATACTACTACTCGCGCGCCTCACAGTTAAAACCGGATGATTCGAGAATGCTGGTGTCTCTTGGGGAGGCGTACGAGAAAATGGACAAGATACCAAACGCCCTCAAGTGTTATTACAAAGCACACAGTACAGGGGATATAGAAGGGATGGCTCTTTTCAAATTGGCAAAGTAAGGTTTAGTTTCTTTGTGGTGTTCAGTGGAAAGGAAAAAAATGAAATTAAGCATTTTTTCCTTTCCACTGACTATAAATGTACATAAAACTAGTGCACTGGATTTATCTGTATAATGTAACCATGAGCCTTGTTTCATTTGCAAGATACTTTAGGCCTCCAAAGGGTATCATTAGTTCAGTCAGTGCTTTGAACCAACAGAACTATCCTTGTATACCGATAAAAGCTTCTTTACATTCACTTAGATCTTTTTATTGTTCCCAACTATTTGCGCCTTATGCTTGGACACCGATGTAGTCACGACATAATTCAAAATTCCCTTGTTGACAGTTTGTTTCAGCCAAACGCGTCTCCTGTTTGACAAAGGCATCGATTTCACCAAAGAAAAACGTTCTTATAACGGTTTACTTTTCATCTTGGCAGGTTGTATGAGAAATGCAACATGCCCAACAGCGCGGCGGCGGCGTACACGGCGGCGTGCCAGGACGCGGCCAACGCGGGCAGCCGCGAGCTGCCGCCGGCGCAGCGCTACCTCGCGCAGTACTACCTGCGCTTCTCGCTTGTCGACCACGCGGCGCACTACGCCTACAAGTGCCTGGAGCATGAGAGCGTGAGTTGCTGTTACCAGAGTAAATACAAATGAGTAGGTCATCTTCATAGAAACGCACCGAGCGCGCCAATACATTATGCGGCGCGCACGCACACACTGACAAAATGCGGCGCAACTCCCCGCTTATCCACGCTAAATTTTGTCAGTGTGTGCGTGCGCGCCGCATACGTATTGGCGCGCTCACATAAACAAACCGCGCTCGGTGCGTTTCTATGAAGATGACCTACTTATTTGTATTTACTCTGCTGTTACTTCCATCATCATTTCAGCCACAGGACGTCCACTGCTGAACATAGGTCTCCCAATGATTTCCATATTGACCGGTTGGTAGATGCCTGCATCCAGCGCCATTCCTGCTACCTTTGTGAGTTTCCAAAGTTCTGTCTTTGAACTGCTATGTAGCGCAGTACTACCTGCGCTTCTCGCTGCTGGACCACGCGGTGCACTACGCCTACAATGAAGAATGTTCACTAATTTAGTTTTTTAGCTTTCTGTATTCTCTGTTAAAAATAAAAAATACACGTGAAAGAATTATTTCGATACGTTAATTAGTTTCCAAGATATTGAATTTTAAATGTGCGGGCGGCGGCCGGCCCGCCATTTTATNTTATTAGTCTAAACAAATAAAGAAATTTTGACTTTGACTTTGAACCAACAGAACAATCCTTTTATCCTGATAAAAGCTTCTATAACTGTAACCTTCTGTTCACTTAGTTAGATCTTTTTTATTGTTCCCAAATATTTGCGCCTTATGCTTGGGCACCGATGTAGTCACGGTACCAGCAATATAATTCAAAATTCCCTTGTTGACAGTTTGTTTCAGCCAAACGCGTCCCCTGTTTGACAAAGGCATCGATTTCAGTAGAGAAAAATGTTTTTATAACGGTTTACTTTTCATCCTGGCAGGTTGTATGAGAAATGCAACATGCCCAATAGCGCGGCGGCGGCGTACACGGCGGCGTGCCAGGACGCCGCCAACGCGGGCAGCCGCGAGCTGCCGCCGGCGCAGCGCTACCTCGCGCAGTACTACCTGCGCTTCTCGCTGCTCGACCATGCAGCGCATTACGCCTACAAGTGCCTGGAGCATGAGAGCGTGAGTTGCTTTTATCATCATCATCATGATCATCAACATTTCAGCCACCAGGCGTCCACTGTAGAACATAGGCATCCCCAAATGATTTCCATATTGACCGGTTGGTAGCGGCTTGCATCCAGCGCCCTTCCTTACCTACCTACCTTTATGAGCTACTTTGCTTCTGCTCGACCACTAGACTAAGAGCTAGTGAACGCCAGACCTACGTTATTTTATAAAGGCTGAAAGTTTGTCAGCGCATGCTCCCAACATAGCTTAGAACCATGGCCAAACATGAAGTTTGGGTCATGGTGGCCTTGGCAGACAGACGGTTCTAAAGGTGTGTAAAATACCAACTTAATTACGTCAAAGTATAAAGGCTGATTTTTTGATATTTCCTTCAAAATGTTATTAGAAATGACGTCATTAATTGACAGACACCTACCATGGTGGCAGCCCTTAGCCAGACACCTTAAAGTTCATGAAAATGTAGTCCTACTTACGTCATACTATAAAAGCTGATATTTACATAAAATATTTGAACTATCATTTGATGAAGTTTCCTCATCAGCCAGACCCTTCTGATGGTTCCTTCGCCTTGCCAGACAGCTTTTAGGGTGGCTGAAAGTGCGAACGCGAGGCACTATAAATATTATTTTTTGTACTTTTTCTTAAGTTACTCAAGTATTTGAGTCTGTAAATCATCATCTCATGTTGATGAGCTGATGATGGAAGGTAAGTACAACTCCTTAAGGCTTAGGAGTTGGAGGACAATCCTTTAACCAGTATTTATATAAGTATAGTTTCTAAAGTTATTTGGGTGTTTGCATCAGCTAGTCATCATCCCATGTTGATGGAAGGTACAACTCCTTAACGCTTAGGAGTTGTAGGATAATTCACGTCATGCTCCCCGGCAGAACTACTTTTGATTTAACTAGTGTAAGTTTCTAAAATAAATCTTTGAAATGTCTATAAAATTCTAGTCCTATTTAAAAAAAAACTACGTCACAGGTTTCGCCGTATTTTGTTATTGAAAGTGGTTGCGCTGCAGAGTATCCTTCCAGCGAAACCATCACGATATATCTATTACTATGCATAGTATAATCAAATTTACAGTAATAGTACTATAACAATTCTATATTGAATTAGGACCCCCAAATCCTCACTAGAATTTATATACACGGAAAATGTGGTGCCTCAAATTTTATCTTCAAAATAGTTGCTAAACGCCTAGAGTAAAGTTCTTAGCAACATTAGCATTAACATAGGTAATGATAATATTGCTAAGAACTTTACTCTAGGCAACTTTCAGAGGTAATCACTTTAAAATTAGGGATTACCTAAGCCTTAAGGAGTTGTACTTACCTTCCATCATCAGCTCATTAACATGAGATGATGATTTACAGACTCAAATACTTGAGTAACTTAAGAAAAAGTACAAAAAACAATATTTATAGTGCCTCGCGTTCGCACTTTCAGCCACCCTAAAAGCTGTCTGGCAAGGCGAAGGAACCATCTGAAGTGTCTGGCTGATGAGGAAACTTCATCAAATGATAGTTCAAATATTTTATGTAAATATCAGCTTTTATAGTATGACGTAAGTAGGACTATATTTTCATGAACTTTAAGGTGTCTGGCTATGGGCTGCCACCATGGTAGGTGTCTGTCAATCAATGACGTCATTTCTAATAACATTTTGAAGGAAATATCAAAAAATCAGCCTTTATACTTTGACGTAATTAAGTTGGTATTTTACACACCTTTAGTACCGTCTTTCTGCCAAAGCCACCATGACCCAAACTTCATGTTTGGCCATGGTTCTTAGCTATGTTGGGAGCATGCGCTGACAAACTTTCAGCCTTTATAAAATAACGTAGGTCTGGCGTTCACTAGCTCTTAGTCTACACGAGGCGCACTACGCCTACAAGTGCCTGGAGCATGAGAGCGTGAGTTGCTGAGTCACTTCCATCGTCATGTCAGTCACAGGACGTATTATAAGGCCCAAGTTCTGTCTTTGAACTGCTATGTAGCGCATTTCTACCTGCGCTTCTCGCTGCTCGACCACGCGGCGCACTACGCGTACAAGTGCCTGGAGCATGAGAGCGTGAGTTGCTGTTACCAGAGTAAATACAAATGAGTAGGTCATCTTCATAGAAACGCACCGAGCGCGCCAATACGTATGCGGCGCGCACGCACACATTGACAAAATGCGGCGCAACTCCCCGCTAATCCACGCTAAATTTACGCGCAGCATACGTATTGGCGCGCTCACATACGAACCGCGCTCGGTGCGTTTCTATGAAGATGACCTACTCATTTGTATTTACTCTGCTGTTACTTCCATCATCATTATAGCCACAAGACGTCCACTGCAGAACATAGGCATCCCCCAATGATTTCCATATTGACCGGTTGGTAGAGGCCTGCATCCAGCGTCATTCCTGCTATATTTATGAGTTTCCAAAGTTCTGTCTTTGAACTGCTATGTAGCGCAGTACTACCTGCGCTTCTCGCTGCTCGACCACGCGGCGCACTACGCGTACAAGTGCCTGGAGCATGAGAGCGTGAGTTACTGTGTTACTTATTTTACTTATTGCAGGGTTTCCCAACCTTTATTTTGCCGAGCCTACCTGTACAAAAAAAAATGTTACATGCGCGATGCCTGCACCCAGGTGCTTCCGTCCTGCATTGCCTGCATCCAGGTGCTCCCAACTTTACTAGATCGTTGGTCTACCGAGTTGGGCTGGCTACCCGCATTATGTGTGGCCTTTTATTATCATGTCTCCCTTTTTATTTTCAGACTAAAGAAGCTGGAAAAAATATCCTCAAGACCATCTCAGAAAAAAGATTAGCAGCATCATCGTCGTCTCAACCGACAAGCTTGCCGGAAGACTTGCCTGAAGCCATCAAGAACGCGTCAACGGTGTCCATATCGAACGAAACCCCAAAGACCCCACTTCCCAGCCCGAACGTCACCCCAGATAACTTCTCTACCCCAGTGTTCACAAGAAAAAGTAGTAAATACAAAATGTAAAGTTCTCCATGTGCTAGATGTAAATAAGACTGATCTAAGTGAATAAACAATTCTCAAAACTTGTTTATGTGAAGTGTTTTTGTTTCTTCTCCAGAAAGTCATTATCATAATCTTTTTTACTGAAGAGTTGAAATGTTTCTAATGAAACATCAAGAAAGAACAAGCGTGGGTACAACGTCCCGTTACGTCTAGCTCGGCGTGTCAAAGAAGGAAGATATCGGTGATTAAATAATATTTTTTCTGGATATTTCACGTTGTATGAATTTGTAATTTCTTTAAAGATGCCTAAATCAAAAAATATTTTTAACCATTTTCCCAAGGATCTGCAATCGGTAATGAATATGTATTTGCTAATTACGTTTGACAGTATATTCATAAATGCTTAAATACCTACATACATAACTATGTAATAGAAAAATATTTTCTATTTATCTATTGCGACGAGATTTCCTGACGTAATTAACAAATTTGTAATATCACTGGTAATGGTAACAATGGTAATTAACGAACGGGCTTGGAAATGTTTTAAGCCAAATTGCGCATGAAACGTGTAAACGCTCTTAATTAAACCAGCTCTAATAAATTAAATACCCTAGTTATAATGATCTGTAATTTGCTAATTTGAAACTCGATGTCATAAGGTCCTACTTGGTCGCTTTTAACCTAACATTTAACTGACCAAACCAAACCAAAGATTAAAAAGTAAAATAAAATTATGATGTGTAAAAAAATATTTAATAATGATTAATTTTTTACAACTTTAATACAAATTAACAGATCTTAGTGCTCAATAGTAAAAAAACAATTACAATTAGAACTAAATAAATAGCAAAGTGCATTGATTAAAATAAATTTGTTCAAATTAGCTCACCGCAATTATAATAAAATTACTGATTACAATCACAGATGAAATACAAAGTTTGAGAGCTTGATAAACTGAAGGTTATGACAAAATTATATCGCTTGATTTATTAATAAAATATATTACAACTGCTTAAAATTATTTAAATTTATGTTAACTTAAGACAGAATAATAAACATTTTATAAAGCTCAGATTACATAGTCAGAGTAGTCAGAAGCGTCTGCAAATCACAATAAGTTTAAAAGCTTAAATACACAATAATTGCATTGTTAGTAAGATGACTCGTGTCACAACTTGTGCAGACTGTGATTTATTAAGTTACCTACTTATATCTGATGGAAGTGACCTTTCTGATCCATGCAAGAATCAAACAATTAATGTAGTTAAAATAGAACAGAACTCCCATCTTTAATATTAAAATGGCAGGGGTATAAATCGTATATTTTGTTTTAAGGCCACGAATTTTCAATTCACAGGTACTTTTGAATACTTATTAGACGTCAATATATCTTATTATAGTTATATTTTGTCATACTCATAAGATCAAACTATTGTTACTTTTGATAAGCAATAGTCACAAAATAATTTTTGTACCCTAATTTGTCTTACAATATCATACCAACATCTACATAATGTGGTGTGATGACTTCATTCAAGCTATGCTCAGTCACCGACATTTCAAAACGCACTAATCGTTTAAGACTCACTTCCTCTATTAAGGCACGATACGCAAACAATATTTCGTAACTGATAGCGCATATTTGCTCAAAATGTTTCGCCTATTTATTACATTAAAATTTTGTATTCTAATATGTGACCATCAGTTTATTGACTACCACGGCATTTGCATGTTTAAAAGATTCTAACTACAATATAAATACATAATTTAGTATAAAGCTAAGACCAGCTTTGCATGAATAATAACATTCATATTTAAACCATTTCTACTCATAAATTCATTCAAAATACTAATGCAGTTTCAAATTTTCTACACAAAGATACTATTTTATCTAGTATATTAAAATTTCTGTCTACTATATTCTGTTAAGGCAGATTGAGGCACTTTCGTTTACAACCATAATAAGCACTTTAAAGTTACAAGTAGGGACAATGATTTAAGGAGATTACAACTATGGCAAACTGAATATATAAATAGACTATTTTACAATTTGTAAATAATAAACTTTGTAGCTGTGTTTGTGCTTTCAGTTGCATTAATTTGTTCTTTGATTTTTGACTTGGGTCTTCAGTTCCTTACAAGTTACAGAAATGGATTCTTGGAATTGACAAATCCACCATTATTTGTTGAAGGCTGTAAAAAAATATCATTTTAAAATTATATTATACAAAAGCACTAAAAAGCAGATTTAAAGCTGTAATAATTGCTTTATATTGTCTAATAGAGACAAAATCTCATGCATATCAGTAAACTGATTGCAATATACTAATGGCATACTAACATAGAAAGATTAATAGAGTATAGCATGATGCAAAAGGTTAGTAGGTCTACAAACTGATACTGTTGGTCTCTGCCAAAAGCTATCTCACTATGATTAGACTGTTCATTCAAGTGAAACAGACAATCAAATTATAATCAACTCATCAATATGAATTGTGTTTCCCTGCTACATGCTTAGCATGATTATTTACACCTACAAGGGCACCCAATACTTATTAAACAGCAACTATTACAATATGTTATTGATATCAAACAAAAGATTTGCTTGTTAATAAATTAAGTTTAATAAAATATACCTACTCCTGTTAAATTCAAACAATCTTATCAAAATGTAAACAAGTTTTTGACAGAATGTAAATCTTTATCTCAAGTTGATTATCAAAATACACAGAGATAAATTGTTAGTCTTACCACAAAAGGGTTTACAGAAACCGGTGTAGCAGTACTCCATCCTCCATTGAAGAAAGGGTTTTTGTTAGCAAACAAGTCATTGGTTGTCGAGCTTTGGAATGGATTCTTATTATTTACATTGTTACTTTCCTCTGAAAATTTAAATGTTATTAATATAAGAAGTAGAAACTGACAACAAAAATTAAACTCAATTTATTACAGAAAAATCAAACAAACTAAGATTGAAAGTATAAAAAGTTGTTGCCTACTTACCCATATGCTTCATGTTTTGCTGTCTTAATGCTAAATCCAAGTCAGCTAAGGCAGCATAGCGGTCGTCTAAAATAAGTTCAAAATATTAGCTACTAGACACAATAAATTACCAGTTAAAATATTTAATTTTTATTTTACAAAACTTACTTGATGAAGTTGGCTGGTTGAATGCATTGAAAGTTGTTGTTGCTGACGGTTGAGATGCAAAATTATTGTTATTGAAGTTATTATTAAATTGACTGCTATTATAAATGTCTGCAGTAGAGAAATCAACAGGAAAACTGAAAGATAGAAATTATTTTACTTGTTACAATTACTGGTAATTATTATATTATGTACCTACAAATAAATATATCAGTAAATTACTCACTCAGGTACTGGTGGAGCCGGTGTAGAGATTGGAACACTCATATTAGTCAGCAGAGCTTGTGGGTAATTGACATGTGGCCGTGCTAACTTGGTGTTGGATTCGCTAACAGGAGCCAGCAAGTTATTTACTATCTTTGCAGAGTTCACAGTCGTGTTATTATTAACCATACTCTTGGAAGTTTGCGGCGAAATTGATATCAGGGGTGAAGCATTCGTCGCGCTGACAGCAGTCTTAGCTTTTGATCTGTTTTTCAATGATGAACTACCATTGGAGACAGCACTGGACTGAGGCTCCAAATAATAACGCTTCTTTTCATATTTATCAGACATAAAATCTTTCACGCTTTGTTCGTCCGTAAAGTTCACACTTTCACCCTCGTAGAGGCCTAACCAAACGCGTCTGCAGTAATCATTGCCTCTAGTTTTAATGAAATCGATCTCTTCTGGGGTGAAAGTGGCCATTGATATTGACTTTACACGATGAGGTGGTGTAAGACCACGCCTGAAATAAAATAGGTACAGTCTGTTTGTTGATCTCATTACGATTGCAAAGTAACAAACGCGCAGAAATAATACTTACAACATTCCCGAACATTTTGAACACACAAACGAACCAATTGTAGTATTTACATAAGTTGGCCCTCTTTGGTTGCAATCTAAACAGTATTTATTCCCATTCAAAGAAATAAGTTCACGTAAGATTTCTAAATTTTTGTCGTCCTGCTTCCGTCGATTTGCAGCCATTTTTGAATGAAATGTTTTTGTTCTTTCGGAATGGAAATGCAGTTGGTAAATCTGACGTATGTATTGACAGAAGCACAGATTAAAAATAATGTGCCAAGCAGTGCCAAGCGCAAACGCCAGCAAGCAAAAAAATTACCATAGACAATATCCAAAATATTCTCCAAGAATGTCGTTGACATTGAAATATAGAGTGCGCCGGAGTGCGCAATTCTTTGCTGTTTTTATGGGTTTAAGTTAACGAGCTAAATTAATTAATTAGCAAATATTGCTGATTGCAACACTTTTACTACTTCTTTATCTATAAGCTTAATTAATTTTTCAACTGCTGGTGAGATTCGGTTAATCCACAGTTATTAACAACTCTATGGGTTAATCCATTAACTGATTGACTACTGTCAATCAATGTAATAATATAAAAAATATATAATATAATCTCAAATATCCCTCTAGTGGGGGTGATGCTGGTGGAACTTCTGGTTGCACTGGGATATATGAATAATTAAATTAAATAACGGTTTTTAAATAACTTTTAATCAACTTTTAAAAATGTTTTTGACACGTCACTTCCTTTTTCTTTTTTATTTGCTATCCGTGATCCAAATTGCAAGGCACGTTTAGGAAATAATGCAACATCTCTTAGGCCTAAGTGGAATGCTGCCATTCGCAAAAAAAGCTTATCACCAACACCTGGCCCCAAGTGTTCACTTGGAAAACATCTGTAAATTAAATAATAAATAACAACTTAAGTAAAATCATTAGTATAATCAGCTGCGGTGGTGGTTATGGCGGAGCTTGGGTAAACGGTACTGCGAATACCTAACGATTAAACGAAAATAAAGGCATATTATATAACTTACTTTAACCATGGCTTTAAGCTTAAAATGAATTCCGTAAAGTCTTCATCTAAATATGGCATTCTCGGTTGTCGTCCGTGATCACAGATAACTCTATTATCTCGGGCTAAGTTTCGGAATGATATCCTCATCCAATCCAGCTGTAATTCTTTACTGAGGCCAGTCCAGCCATTGCGTTTAAAAGCATTTCTATGTCTAGTGTAACCACCAAATAATTCATCTGCACCTGAACCCAAAAACAGGATCTGTAACAGGAGAATAATAATATTTTAAAAATATATAAATATGTAATAANACTTGGCCAATTTTTTTACTTAAGATTTAACCCATTTTTCTGGCAAACTCTATTTCTCTATTTCTTATGGAAAAAAATACGTGATATTTCCCGAGACCCCCCCTCTCCCCCACGTGAGATTTGGTGAGGTTTTTTTTTACCCCCTCCCCCCCCTAAAAGCCTCACGTAATTTATGGACGCCCCCTAACATACCCTGCAAGGAGACACAGATTGTAAATCTTGAGCTTTTGAAGCAAACCATAATGCTGATCCAAGACTTTCATCTAAGATGGTTTGTCTAGGGTATACCAAATCAGCAATAGCTGTTTCTTGATATGTATTCAATTCATCTTTAGGAACATTGATTTCCTTGAACACCCATTTCCTATAAATATTTAAAAAATCTTTGAATATCCGCCATACTCCAACAACTCCAACCGGAATTCACTGAATGTTTTTCATACTCTTACTAACCTATTAGGACAAAGGCGCTTTAGTTCTTCTAAAGACTGCTTGCCAGTTATCCTATCAGGCACTTCATAAGAGGAAGAGTCATCTTTTTTAAATGCAACATTCATAAGATCTATGCTTTGCGCCTTCGGTACATATTTATCGATCAGATATGCTAAGATGGTACAATCTAGTCCTCCAGAAAAAAGAACACCAACCGACGAGTGATCGCAAATAGTTTTCTTTGATAAACACATTTTACATAAACTTGGCTGTCTTTTCAGTCGGATTTTAACACTGCTGTCTAGTTTTTCAATTATTTGCACAACTGTTTCTCTTATAACTGAATTGTCTAACAGTTTTTCAATTATACTACATTTGTCTTTTGTTTCCAAAGATACCATTTCTATATATTTTATTGGCTCATCCTGAAATGTTAGTATAGTAATAAATTATATTTTGTAGACACAAAAAAAAATTAAGATTATTATGTAATATTATGAAACCTCTCTAAAGATACAATTAAACAATTTTTTCTTTGTAGTGTGTATTATTAACATTTCTTTTAAGTTGTGATCCTTTTTCAGTGGCTTTCTTCCTTTGGCATTTTAGACATAATTATTCTGTAAACAAGTGCTACTAGTAAAAGAAAAAGAAAAGCCTGTTAAAAAGCTAAAACATAACAAAACAAAAGAAACTTACTTCTTTATCCATATCCCAATTTATACATGGATCAAATGAAAATTCTTCATCAGGTAAACCTTGTACTAATTTAACAGATTCCATCCAGTCATCCAATTTTACTTCTTGATATTCAATATAATTATCCCATTGATACAGTTTTAATTTTTTTGTGATTAGATTAAGACAAAAAATATGAGTAGCTGGTATTTCTATACATTCATATTTTCTATCTGTAAAATCAGACATAACTCTACAATAATAATATTATGTTGATAGTTAAATATAATTAATGTTGAAATTATTATGTTGGTTCAAAATAAAAATAAATACAAGTACCTAAAACACTGCTGATCAAAATATTTTTATCATTTTTGTGCATTAACAATGAATTTCTCCCAATTCTGTCTCTGGTAAATATCAAATCATTTGTTAAATTGTTAAAATATACAATGCTAAATGGTCCTTTCAAACGCTGTATTTCCTCTACAATATGATCAACAGAGTTTTCCTGCAAATTAATATTAATTGTAAGAACAAACTATCATCAACAAAATTTGTAAAATTAATGTAAGTTCATACAATACCTAGTCAACTTCATCTTACCGAAACTTGATAAAACTTTTCACATATCTGATCTGTATCACTTCTACGAGGGTCCCATTTCTCATCAAAAATATCACCATTGTACAAAAGAATACCTCTGTCATTTTTGATGGGCTGTATTGTTGGCTGGGGGCCCTGCATCCACAAAACTGTTCCACAGAATTCTACTTTTACTCCATTCGTTTCAATTTCACATTCTTGTATACTATCAGGGCCTCTGTTTTTAATTCTCTCTAGAACTTTTTTATCCTGAAATTGATAAAAGTTTCTGCTATATGGTTTATTTTATTATTACTAAATAAACTTCTAAAATGTTACTATTACTAAACTCATAAAATATGGATTATTTTTAGTGAACTGACCTTTGAGTTACTGTCCATTGAATAACATATTTTACACAAAATACCACACATATTGATGGTGCTTTATTTGATTTAAATTAATCACCTTTCCTTAAATACATTAAATAAACATAACCTATAGAAATAAACCTTATAGTTTGTTTGCAAATTCTCTCACAATTTTTTGACTGTTACACTTGCAGGGTTGCCTACAGTAATAAACTAAAATACCCGAACGCATTGTCGAAACTTGATACCTACCACATTTAAATTTTATTATACAATGGATATTACGTCAACGTGTAATATACGACTGTGGGTGCTCGAAAGTGGGAGTAACGTCGTGAGGAATCGGAGGAAGCTTATTCGCTTTAAATAAAATCCAGTTTTGATGAATGATTTGTAAAAAATCAGTCAAGATTATGTGAAACATGGCGCATTGTTCAGACATAAAATGCGGGATTTTCCCCAAATTGCAGCTCTTCCCACACATTCCCCAACAAGCTTCACTTTCTCCGCAGTTTGGGGAATTTCCCACAGATTGGCAACTTTGCACTTGTCAAAAAGAATGATGAAGAAGAAGACTTCTTCACTTCTCTACTATTAATCAAAGACATTATAATACTAGAATAACCAATTATGACAAAAATTTCTTGAGAGATAGATAGTTTTATTAAAAACTGAGATTGATTCTTGGGTAAATTTTGTGCGTAGGTAGATTTCAAATTTGGTATGAAAAACCTGGAAAAGTAGGGGAAAGTGATCCCTCTAATGATAAGGGCATTCAAAATTTAATTGATGTGGGAAAATTTGAATATTTATCATTTTTCAGTACCGGGTATGATTTTGATTTCATAAATCCATAGAGGAATGTTTAATTCTTTAGGCATAGATTGTTGGCATTGAGTGAGATTGAGTGTGTCCTTAAGTGGGATGTGTGTCCAATTTTGCCAAGTGAAAATTATTTTTCCGTATTTGACGGGTTAAGGGTTAACCATAGAGTATAGTACTTATACGGGTTAACCGATGATGTGTGGAGAGCTAAAAAAAAGTAATGTCATGATATGTCATAATGACAGCGTTGACAGCATTTGACAGATTACCTTCTGATTCACTCGCCCATCACGCACATTTTGTGAATTTATTGAATTGCGACTTGCGTTGTGATGGTGATATTCGTGTTATTTCCCTATTATTCGTGAGTGGAGCAATCAAACAGAATTGCTATTACCTCAAATCCACACGCCGATACTCCACTTGTTTCTAAGACTGACTACAACAACAACATTACGAAAGTGTTCTAAGATCTGTAACAGAAGTTTTTCTCCAAGTTTAGCTATCGAATAAGAAAGAAAAAGAATAATGGCAGAACAAAGTACTGATAACGCTACCAGTGAAGTGGAGAACAATTATTCCACTCCAGCAAATGATCCTAAAAACATGCAGGAAGTAACTCAATACGTAAGTTGTTTTTATCTTATTTTTTTGTGGTTAATGGATATTAGATGTTTACATAATTTATTAACTTACATACGCATACATTATATACGTATTATATAGTTGAGTTACGTAGATATAGTGGTAACTAAGGGGCTGGTACTAATATCAAATAATGCAATTATGTAAATTTCAGGTACAATCACTTCTTCAAAACATGCAGGATAAGTTCCAAAGCATGTCAGATCAGATAATAAACAGAATAGATGAAATGGGGACAAGAGTGGATGAACTGGAGAAAAATATCACAGACCTCATGACCCAGGCCGGGGTGGAGAATGAAAAGTAATGAAAGCTTCCTTGTTCAACCAAAGGGTTGAAATAATCATCTTTTGTTAATATTCACCCAAAGAGAATTGTGCCTCTGTCACATACTTTGTAATATGTGTAAGTAAAAAACCACACAGCATAAAATGTTAAGAATTATTAAATTTTGTAACACATACTTAGATGCTAGACACATTATTGGTTTAGAATTAGGTTTCATTTGTTGTTAATAAATTAGTGGGCACATAATTTTATAACAAACTGTGACAATACATTATTAAATTATAGGGGTGAGGTCAAATAAGATTAGTTGTTGTCTAAGCAGCATTTGGTTTCATGATATTTTGTGAAATACATAATAAGTCAATTCATCATTAACATACCCAAAAATATTTTTAATTAGAATGTTAAAATCATTTCACCTCACCCTGAGAATTTACCAGTTTCATTTATTTGTAAGTTCATTATTATTACTGAAAGATGTACTTTATGTATTGATCATAAGATTTTTAATGAAGCACCATTATTAAAATGAAACAACTAGTTCAAATACTTTGCCTGTAAGTTAATTGTAGCAAGGATAAATTTGGATGTTAGTAATGCTAGATTCATGCAAACAATTATGTGAAATATTGTTAAATCAATAAAAACATCTTATTACTGTATCATACATATTGTACCATTAAGTGCCAGGTAGTGTATTGATTTTAGACATGGCTATAAAGTGTACCAGGCACAGAGCAGGACCAGATACAAGGAAAATCAATACAGCATAACTCAAAAAGTAGGCATGTTTGAAATCCATACAGATATGCATAGAAGGAACCCATACTTGTAAGAATTAAGGTTAGTTGTGTAATGAAAACATGGGGCTGATATGTTTTAAATTGGTTTATAAATTGTGTAAAAAGCAACATTAGTAGCATAATGCCTTTCACTATATTACTTTGTTTAAATTGCAGTTTTGAAGCTTTTGTTATTACATTAATCCTTTATGTTAGTATGTTATGTATTACTCTGGCATCATGCAAAAGGAGTAACTAAATTGTGATCATACCTATTGGGGTAGAGCAGATTTTAGTTATTTTTGACTAAGAAAAGACAAAGAAAAGGACCTGCATGTATTTTTTATTATTAGTGGCTAAAGTATTTTGTTTGTTTTGTCATTGTATAGTTTATGAAGCCCATGTATTTAATTCAAAATTATTGAATTTCCTCAACACATAAGTGCCTTTAGGTGGCAAGCAAGTAATTTTGTACCAAATAAAATAATGATTGCCAAACTTTTCGCTGCCAGTAGCAATAGCATGCTGACCGACTGGATGACGATACATAATACATTAAACTAGTTAAGATGTGAAGTATTTAAATACACAAATCACTGTCCTTTGTGCTCATATCAACTTATTTGTTGTAACTGTGTAATAAAATACAAAATTTGAATAATCCTTATTTTATTTATTAAAATCATAGGTGTGTTACATTAAACATTAGGTTTTACATGAAAATTAATACCTACGCATGTTTTATTATTAGCTAAACTAAGCAACATGCATTTTCATCAACGTGATTCAGTCTCCTCGGAAGTGTCATGGTCTCCAGATTCTTCAGATTCCTATAATAAAAACATTTCCTGGCTTAGTCTTAAAAAAAGCAATAAATAAAATGCAAATAAGTTATGAGTAAGAAGCGTAATTAAATCGATGTACTATTTAATAACTTTTCATGGATACTACTTCAGAATAGTTAATAAATCGCTTTAGTATAATATTCTAGGCTCGATTCTCAAGAACTTTAAATTTTTCAACACCAATAAGTTAGATTAACTGTTAAAAATATTTTAGTTTAATGTAATTAAAAAACTTATGTAAGTAAAATGTACAAATGGGCTTATGTAATAAAAAAGTGAGTGATGCTGTTATATTATGGTATACCTAAATAAAACTGCACACAAAAAGACCTCTTTATTGTTGTTTATAATAAAACTTAGCTAGTTTTAATATTCAATTGCTATCACGAAAATTACATACAGGACAGGAGCATAAATTATCTTACGTTTCTCATATTATTTTTTCATTTGTAATAGTTTTAGGGATGTAAGGCCCTATAAGTTTTACTTCGTAACTTACGTAAATTAAGCGGGGAAGATTCTAAACTCTAACCCGACCCGAAAATTCCCATGTCGCGGATTTTTAGGTATAGATTTGATTAGTTTTTGGTTTTACCGTGGTCTCATCCTCTTCTTTAGATGACGAATGGTTCATTAGAGTAGCCAAGGAGCTGGACCTCCCAACAGCAGAATTAATGTTCTCTGGTGACTTTACTCTTCGTAAACTCTGCAATGCCGTGAATAGGAATATTAAATGAGTACCTAATAAACAAATGTTTTAAATAATGTGTCCGTCAAGCAAGTCTACCTACCTACGAGCTCGTCATATAATTAGAAATGAAGAGCTGTAAGGACTAAAGAAAATAGCAGATAATTAAATTGCAATCCTACTAAGTATGCCTATACACGGGATACCGACTTATTGACTTATTTATTTCTTCTTTATACAAGTATCATGTTAGACCTTGAACTACATTATGTGGGTAAATTACCCAATCTGCAACACCCTGTAGGTATTACTTATGACACGTGAATCTAAGTTGTGCTTGTTTTGTAAGAAAGTGCTTCTTGCAACAAAAATAAATAATAACAGTGATGTTTAGAAGTTTGTACCATTGTGTCATCGTCTTCTCGTGAGGGTGAGTGCTGATTCATCAGCGACGCCAAAGACGATGACCGAGCAGATATGCCTGTGTTCACTTGTTTCTCTGGAGACCGCAACTTCCTTCTGAAATTCTGTGACAAAGACATATACCTAGTTACTATTTCATAAAACGGTAACGGTACACTTGAATAAACAATATTTACCGCCTGATCCTCATAATCCGACAGACCTGTATTGAGCCGCTTTACAAAAAGAAGTAAAATAAGTTAACGTTCATGTTTACAGTGACGTATATAGAGTTGATTACTCTTAATTATTATTTTCTTCATTTGCAACACGTCATAAAATGTAAATAGGCTAAGATTGTGGGTATTGATGTACTGCGGTTGATAGACCATACGCGTATAACATTACAAACCTCTAGATCAGCCTTTTCGTTTATATCGCCTATCTGTTGATGCGCAACAGTAAGTAACTCCACTGCCTTTGCGTGAAACTTTAGCTCAATCATGACAAAGTCTGACAGAAGAGTCTTCAACTGCTGCAGTTTGCGTCGCTCGAAGAATTCTGTCTGCTCGCTGAGGCCTTTAGCTGTGCGAGACATCTCTGCTGATGCCTTTAATAATTCCGATTCCGCGTACGTCTGGTAAGAATTTTGAATAATACAGAAAAATTTTTGTAAAATATCATGGTTATAGGCAATAGGAAGTCATTAGGCTTTAATAAAAAAAATGTAGTAGTAATAACGCACGACTTGCTGTCTGTTGAATGGCTGTCTCTCCCTGGCCTTGTCAAGTACTTTCTTCCTTGCCAATTCCTTTTCCCTGACGTTCATCGTGTGTTTGAGCTCCTCTCGAGCATGTTTGCAAATCGTTTCATATTGACACAGCTCTCCAACAACCTAGTTAAGTAAGCATTAGGTATTATCGTTATAAGCATGCACTGTCTGTAGAAGCACAAAATGTGCCTGTAATGTGCTTCAAATTGCCGAAAAATTGCCAAGAAATTAGTTTTGAAGCTGTAAGTATTATGTAACATGGAAAATTTATTTAAATTCACCCGCCAAATGTAGGGCGGGGAGTCAGGTAGGACGACGACTTTGAAGCACAAAATAAACATTGATTTTTATGTCCGAAGTGTGACAGGAAATATAATGAGATAGAATAGTCTGATGTGCTTTTAAGTTTTATTACCTATATTAATTAGGTATAATAATAGATACCTACCTTTGCTTCCAATCGTTGAACCTCGCAGTTTCGATACTCTTCAATAGCAGTAAGAGTTATAGATAAATTCTCTAGGCCTGCACTCAGAGATTTATTGACTATTTCGTTATTTGAATAGTCTTTTAATACTTTGGTTAGTTCATCACCCATGTCACGTAAGCTAGAAATAATGTATTCTATTAAGTACAATTAAATTGTTTTTGAACAACTAAGTACCCGTGTCGCGTGGAGTTTACACAGCGGATACTTACGCTTAGAAGTAGAAGTAGTCATAGTAGATATCGACTTAAGTAGTCCATTTTAACTTTTAAACTTACCGGGCAGTTTTCCGGGTGTAATCGCCGAAAGCAACACATAATTCTCCAAAGTTCTTTTCTACTGTTGTTATTCTATCTTGTATAAACTTTGCTTGTTGTTCATAACTTAAAGAATGGGAATTATCACCGCGAAACATTACTGGACCTACCGAACGGTAGGGGTCTACGTAAAGTTTAAGTACCTCTAAAGACTAATGTAGGTAATATTGTTTATTATGAAATTGTTTAAAATTTTCTACAGTACCAGTAAGTACTCCGACTGCAACTTTTGTTTACGTTTTTTGTTACCATGGTAACTGAGATGTCTTTTTCCCCATTCCAATTCACGAAATTATAGTAAAAAAGATATAAAAAAGAAAAACAATTATAGTTTTGAATGTCTTTGCGCAAAAAACAAACCTAAACCAGATACCTGTCTTCTGTCAATGTCAGCTGTCATTTGTCATCGCTGTTTTGTCCATTCTCAGCTGTTTGTTTCTTTGTGATTATTTTGGATTTAATTATTAAAATGAATGAAGAAATAGACGAATACGATATTTATCATCAAGATTTTACGACTGTATCAGAGTGGGAAGTATTTATTGCTCGATTAGAGGAGATTCTTAACGAGTGGCGATTACCAAAATCCAAAATACCTAAACATCAGCAATTCACAAAGAAATGGATTAGCAAATCTGAAGAGATTTCATTCCAAGGTCTAAAATTTAAGTTATCTTACCACGCTTTAGAACCTATTGTTGGGGTTGACAATGTAGAGGAGTCAGATGACAAGTTTTTACATAATGAATTGCAAAATGGTATTTGGGATGCCACATCACATTTTATGGATGAAGAGGATGGAAGCCCATTTCCTGTCTCTAGTTGGTTTGGGTTAAAACGTTATTTGATGGTGTGCTCAGAACTACCACTCGTAGAGGGTAGTGTGATAAAAGTAGTAATGAGTTCAATTAATATTGCCTTTGCAAATGTCGATTGTGGAGTTCCCATATTTGTAAAAATAAGAGAACATTGGCAGCAGAACTATCTAGGGTTCTATGAAGACAATGAGTACAAAAGTAGCTTTGATACCATTCACCTAAAAAGGATATCAAACCAGTGTTCCCACTTGACTGGCTTAGTTAGCTTGTTTAAATCTAAAATAGGATCCCCTGTCGCTCTTGATGCTGTAGTAGTGTCTACAAAGTTTTCCTATGAGCTGAAAGACTCTGATGCATTTATATGGAAGAAGACAACACATTCCAATGAGTTTTTGTCAATAGATGGTTTTGATGTCAAGAAACTGATAGAACTTCCATTTGGTTCTGAAAAGAATCCTATAAGTAGCGTTCTTCTGAATGCTATTTGGCCAAAGTTTAGAGAGAGTGCCATTGTCGATTCTTCGACATTTTCTGATATTGATCCAATCATGGCCCCTCTGTGGACGGTCACCTTGAAGATGAGGGACAACATCAATTGCCAGTTGTCAGAGACAATTGGCAAGGTGATGGACTTGTTAGACAATAGTAACTTACTTATGGATGTGCTTGGGCTGAGCAGAAGCTTGGGGATTGTGAATCCTTTGCAGAAAATAACTGAGGCACCCATTACTATTTCAAAGCTGGTGAAGGCAGCCATGGGCCATGGTACTGTTTCCGAATTCAAGGGACCCATAGCTGATGACTTGTTAATGCCACTACTGTACTATATATTTCCTGATGCTGTTGAGGATGATACATTTAATTATCCAGAACAATTAGAGGTTGAATTTAAGGTATGAATAATTTTTGTAATTGCATTTAATAATCTGTAATCAATCCCAGGTTTCTAAATTATGTTGTTTAATTTCAGCTTTACTTCTGAAGGTTAATATTCAAAATTGACTGAACTTCTTTTGTTTCTCTTTAGATAAAAGTTTTTTGTTATATTTTTTTAATTTGTCTTTCCAGTCAGAAGCGAACGAAGCGAAGCTCTGCAACTACGTGAAGACGAGCCCCTACGGCGGGCTGGTGTGGCGGCTGTCGGTGACGGCGGCGCGGCTCCACGACGCCGGCGGGCTGGCCTACCTGGCGCACCTGTGGTACGAGTTCACGCAGGAGCTGCAGTACCGGTGGGAACACAGGATCGTGGTCCCGGGGTATGTACTTCATTTTGTGTACTTATAATTCGACTGCGGCTTCGTCCGCGTGGAATTTTGTCTGTCACAGAAAAACTTTATCGCGCGCGTCCCTGTTTCAAAAACCGGGGTAAAAACTATATCCTATGTCCTTACCCGGGACTCAAACTATCTCCCTGCCAAATTTCATCAAAATCGGTTCAGTGGTTTAGGGGTGAAAGCGAGACAGACAGACAGAGTTATTTTCGCATTTATAATATTAGTATAGAGTATAGATTCTAAAGCCTAGGGTGTGAAGAGGACTTACTACTGCATCTCGATTTCAACAGTCATCATGATTATGGTTATAGTAAAGGTATGTATTTTCAAATAAACTAAAAAATACAAATTCATACATACTGGTAAGACATTATCTTTGTGTAGAGTAAGAGTTTTTGATCAAGAAGACAAAATAATCAATTCATCTCAACATGTTTAATCCAGGAAAAATAGTTGAAAATATATGGATAACATTATTCATCAATTACAAATTGGTTTTATGAGACAACATTTTTCGGCACTGTAGATAGTTTAAATAAATAGATACAAGTAGTATTTACAAGTATAGCCTTTTTGCTTATCTATTTTAAGTATTTCATTCATTATTCATTACATAAAATAGCACCATTTGGATTGCGCTGCATTTACAATATTTGGTTGTTGTATTTAACAGATTTCTTTTATTTATAAACAGGTTTTAATCTAACTTATCTAATATATACAGCCTTATTTTTATCTTACATTTACCCTTACTTGTCTAGTAAACATATTTATTGAAGTACTAGCTTTCCGCCCGCGGCTTCGCCCGCGTGGAATTTTGTCTGTCATAGAAAAACTTTATCGCGCGCGTCCCTGTTTCAAAAACCGGGATAAAAACTATCCTATGTTCTTTCCCGGGACTCAAACTATCTCTATGCCAAATTTTATCAAAATCGGTTGCGAGGTTTAAGCGGGAAAGCGTAACAGACAGACAGACAGACAGACAGACAGAGTTACTTTCGCATTTATAATATTAGTTGGGATGTTTGATTATCCACAAGAATATTTTAATCAATCATAGACTACAGTTTACAGTAATATGTTGGATAAATAATGTAGCTTTACTCTAATAGCTTGAAATACCTTTAATGAAAATAAATAAGTGCAATGATAGAGTGATGAGTGAAAACATGTAATCGTGACTAGCATTCAATTACGAATATGAGTTGTAAATTAAGAAAGTTTCAGTACAATTTAACTTTATAAAAGGGCGAAATCCTGAAAGGATTTCAAATGAAGCACTATTTTTTAGACTTGAGGAAGCATCGTTTCATCAGTCTTCATTGAGTACATATTAATAACTAAATTGGCGGCGTGCTCAGATGCCCTCAATGTGCGAGGGGGTTTGCCGCGAAGATCGGCTACGTAAGCCATCTTCGGGCACACTAGCGCCGCCAAGACTGCTAGAAATCGGTCGGATGGATCATCATTATTAATGTATTACAAAACTTAGCGGTAACGAGAATTCTGGAAGATAGCCTCTAATTCTAAGATATTGTATTTGGACATATGTACGTTACTCGGCCTCGCTGCCGGAGACTTGTTTATAGTGACACGTTTCGGGCTTGTGTGGGTGGGCGCGGCGGGCGTGGCGGCGCGCGCGCTCACGTGCACACGACGAGGTGCAGCGCGTCCTGGCGGCCCACCACCGCGAGCAGCGCGCGCGCGACGTCGCCCTGCCCCGCGTCCCGCCGCCTGCGCGCTATAACGGCACCAGCCCGCCCCGCGTCGTAGGGTTTCGGGCCATGTAGATGTCCATGTCGTGGTCGGTCCAGTTGTCCGATGTGTCGCAGTAGCCCATCCCGATGGAGCCCACGCTGTACCGGCTGGCGGGGCGCGACCGGGACCGCGGCCGCCGCCGGGACCCCGCCGTGCCCCCGGTGGCTCCACCCGCCGCCCCGCTTAACGACAAACGAGACGCTCGTTCTGATGCCGCTCCTAAAGATTGACGAGATTGTCGAAGATCTAAAAAGTGAAACTATGATCAGTACACGCCACGCTCCACGTGAAAGTTTGATAGGAAATGTCATAAATTATATTCGCGTATGCGTTAATTTAGTCACTCACCGGTTCTCGATCCTAACATGCTTCCTGGATATCCAGGAGCTCCGTATCGGCCCGATTGTGAATAGCTATGCTGCGATTGACCATCTGCGAGGGAACGAGCGCGGCCTGGACGCCCCGGTAGGGGATCAGGGTGAGTCGGTTCAGTGAAAGTACGCGCTCGCGGGATCGAACGTGAGCTGTAAGCTGACACTTGATCCCATTCACGTTGCTTTCCAAAGGCGCCAAGTGTTGCCAGCGACGACAGCGGACCGCTTGGACTTGGTGTGCCGGTGAGACCGCCACAACAAGGGTTCGGTAGTTTTTCGGATGCCTGAGTATGTAACCGGTGGACGGTCCGAGATCGGCGACGTGAAGCAGCCGCAAAGACGAGTACTGCCACGACAATAGTGCCGCAGATGGCAGCACTCGCCGCTATCGTAATCTTGTCCATGTTGGAGGCTGCGGCTGAGACCGTGCGTACTTCTCGACACTGTGAGTACGGCACTGTCTCTGGACTCACGTGTACCTCCTCCAGGGAGATAACGCAGACCACGATGCATTCCTGGAATGTAAAGTAAAATATTTAGTTATGCAAAGAAAACACGACCACGGCGTAATATACAATTCAAAATTATGAAGGTGTTGTACCTGAGAGGGAACGTTTTTTATTTTAAATTCTCGTTCGCTGGCCTCCAAGGGTGGACCTTGTTTAAAGCTTTTGTCTCCGAATAGTCGATAAACTACTCGAAATCCGAGGATATTCGCTACATCCGAATCCCATTGTATAATGACAGAGTTATCTTGTCTATAAGCATTCTTAACAATGACTTCATTGGAGTCATCTATTTTAGGTTTCTGTTGAGGAAAATTCATGACCAGTGGAGGGCGTTGATTAGGAGCATGACGCCAGGTTGGTGCAGCGGGTCTCACAGAGGGAATGCGGCTTGGGCGCGCTGTGCTGGTAGTAGTGGTCTGCATACTCTTACTGAAAGTTCCACTATCAGAAGCTGTGCTCGTTGTAGTTGTAGATGATGTGGTAGCATTTATGATATTGTCCCGTGTGGTAGAGGTTGTCGAAGATATTATAGTAGCTGAAGTCATCTTCCAGTCAGTGCTTTCCTTTTTTGTTGTTGTCTGTTTTACCGACGCAGTAGTTGTTTCATGGTCACACACCAACTCATTAGGCTCAAAACTGTAAAATCCACGTTCTCTAAAATGTGGAGGGTTGCCACAAAATTGGGGATTTCTTTCACGTGATGTAACTTGCAGTTCTCCATTTCGAATCCATTCTATAATCCAACGTAAGCGACAGTCACAGTTCAAAAATCTTCCGCCTAAGCTTAGGCCACGTAGTGTTTGATTTAGATGGGCGAAGGCTTCCACTGGCACAGTTGGCAATGGGTTTCCATCCAAAGCTAACAATGTTATCGCTGGATTTTTCAGGAAAGCTTCGACAGGCAGCTTATTAAGTAAATTGAATCCAATATCTAAAACTCGCAAATCGGACAAAGTTCCAATTGCTGATGTAGGAAATTCTGGCAATAAGTTGTTGAGAAGACTTAATGAACTTAGAGTTGTTTTTATGCCCGAGAAGGCATCCTCTTTTAAGTTAACAATCAGATTCCTTTCCAAGTTAAGTGCAGTAAGCGATTCTAATCCTTCAAAGGTGCGACTGCCATCAGGGCCCGGGAGTTCTCTGATGCTATTTTGTGACAAGTCCAAGAACGCCAAACTACGGAGACCTCTGATACATTCAGGAACAACCTTTTGCTTGGTACCTTTAAGATTGAGGTTTTTCAACGAGCTCTCCAAACCTGATAGAGCATGATCGGCCAAAGTTATATTATTGTCTGATATTTTCAAAGTTGTCAGTTTACGTAGAGTAATAAATGAATGATTTTCGATGTGAGTTAGAAAGTTTTTCGACACGTCCAGTAAAGAGAGATTTGTTAGTATTTTAAGAGCTTTCACCGGCACTTCGGACAATTCATTGTCTTGTAGGTTCAAATTCTTTAGATACGGCCCTTGACCTCTAAAAGCATCGTCTTCTATTCTTTTGATATTACAGCCCGATATTTGAAGATTATGTATTTTGAGATTGGCGAACATGTCGTTTTTAAGGACTGGTATTGTTGAATTATTTATGTAGAGAAGGTCTATTGTTGTACCTCGAGCACTCGTGTTTAGTGCAGCTAAAAGCGCTACGAAATCCACCTGCAACAAAACATTGTTATATTTTTATATGATTTTGAAATAAGTAGGTACTTATGTAATTTCATAAAATGTTTAAATTACTGTATTTGGTACCTGATCGCACTGAACAGATATTTCTCTGGCCAAGTTAAGTGCGCAAACACACGCCGCTTGAAGCGCAGGGGCGCCTTCCCATGGACATTGCGCATATACGCATTTCAGCAGCAATGGGAGAAGCACTATTGAAATCCATGCCCGAGGTCTGGTGCGGGAACGTGAGCCCTGAAATAGAAATATTTTTTATTTTTAATGAGTAATAAACTTGCACTTGGATGATTGACTTGGATTTTCTAAATAGACAGAAGATAAAATAAGACGGCATATTCTTAATCGAGTTATGAGTCTAATCGGCGATTNCGGCGAGTCATAAGTTTCTCGCATTGGGGACAATTGAGTAGATATGTAACGAGCACGAGAGCAATCAAGGCGTTCAGGGAGCGCGAGGTGAAGTGCAGCGTGTCGGCCATGGGCTAGTAGCCCGGAAAACGCAGGCTTTCCCTGCACCCGTAACCGCCATCGTAATAGGCGACCGCTGTCAATCCAACCGTGCTGCCTCGATTTCAAACCAAACTGCAAATTGACCCGTTATAAAACCAGAAAGTAAGCCAACAAATTATTTCATTAACCATTGATTCTGAAAATGTACGTGTATTAATGCCATCAATAATTAAGTAAACATTTGCGACGGCACGACAGATAGCTAACGTTTGTCGATGTCCAAAAATAATCGATGGTGTAAACAGTAGCATCGAGTTTCAGAGTGGTTTACAGATAATGTTATTTTAGCTCGAAATACTGGGGAAAATGTTTTATGCATTACATGTAGTGTATCTTTCTTTCGTTCGTGCGCCAAAAAGATGTAGTTTCATCTTAAGTTTTATAGGTACAGTTAGGAAGGGATACATATGATGCTGATATGATAATATCTCTATCATAAAACTAACAGTTACCAGTTTTAATAACAACACTACATCTTTCCTTTCGTGTTTACGAGTAAGTATAGAAACGTAACACTGACACATTTGCATCGGTTAACAGTCATCCGATCTCGTCGTAACGGTAAACGCGGAGGCGCAAAGCCGCGAGGCCCAACATTTCTGATTCTCTGAATTCTGATTCACTTTCGCGCGGCCTTTGCCCCCAGATTATTTAAGCTTTATTATATTTGTGCTAAATAATAGTACAGGTTTCCATTCCGAAGAAGAATTTATGTAGTCACCATGTTTTACTGAGCAGTTAGCACCTTTATATTTGTAACTTTCCATACGGTACTGATCTTAATCATTTGTCTAGTGGATTGATTGTGATTTTGTGATGTGTAAAATTGAATGCAATTCAAAATGCGGTTATAATAAAGAAAATGTAATAAAATATTAATTCATTGCGTGTATTATTATATACGTTTCGGAATTAAATGCAGAAACAACATTAAGTAACAATGTTAATACGTCATTGCAACTGTAGAGCAGTAGGTACTCAATCAAGATTGAAATAATTAAATGGCTATAAGTTATTTTATTTGGATATGCATACCAGTTACTGATTTTATGTATGTATACTGGCCAATATTGTGCGTAACTTTGCGAATAAAAAGCTGCCTTCTTTAATGAGTGAAAAGAGCGTGAGAGACAGGCGAAGGAAATATTGACAGGTTTATAGGTTTAAGGTGCCTTTAGTGTATGAAATATGTGATGGTTATTAGTATCCCGTGTACGTGTTCGGTGATTAGTATTGGTTACCGCACGTTGCGCACGCGCGGAAGAACTTTTTTCAGCGCGCACTGCCCACCTTCGCTTGTGCAATTGATGATTTAATTGGACGTAATACATCGTTTTATAATTGTTGATAATACGGTATAGGGCTATCAGCGTTTCCACCAAACTGAACGCAGTTTCTTTCACCTCGAAATTGGCAATAAATTTTTTTCCGCTAATGAAAATTGTGATCATACGTACCTACACCTAAGATTTATTGAAACTAAAGGTGAATATTTAATTCCATGCGTTCTATCATCCATAAAATCTCTCACATATTACATACATCTATAGTAAGTGGGTGAAGCAAACTGTTGTCTGTTGAATATTTTTAATTTTTAAATTATATCATTATTTGGTGGAGGATAGGTGTCTTGCACAACAAACTTTAAGAAAAGCCTTAGAAGATATAATTAAATGGACAGATAATAACAAATTGCGTATAAATATAAATAAAACTAAAATAATTCAATTCAATTCTTATAATACTAATCCACTACATCTTGACATTGAATATAAAAAAGAGAAGGTATGCGAGGTAGCCTTGTTTAATTTCCTAGGAATAACTGTAGACTCACACCTGAACTGGAAGNAAGTATCAATCATGGTATACCTACATAAATATTAATAATTCGTCCTAATAAATAAGTAGGTAATTAGTAATTATTATTCTACTTTTTAGTGTAGGTTTTTTGGAGTCGGTTTTATTTTTTTTTATTGTGGGGCAACTCAGTAGATGTAGACAGAGCATTTAAAATGCAAAAAAGATGCATACGGGTGATAAATGCGGCTTGGTATCTAGACAGTTGCAGGCCACTATTTAAGAAATGTAATGTCCTGCCTCTTCCATGCATGTATATAAGAGATGTGTGTATATTTGTAAAAACCCATCCATATTATTTCAAAAAACGCAGTGATGTGATAACCCGTCAAAAAAGAGCTAAATTCGCAAACCTATTGTTTAAACCCCAATGCCACAAAGTAATATACGAGTACAGGGTGTTTGGCGCATCGTGTGCCAAAATGATTTGGCGGATAGAATGGGTCATTTCCTATATTTTCAGCCCCCATAACACGTTCCATGCCAGGCGGCTACTTTTAAATTATTTTTTTTAGTAATTTCACCACAATACCCAAATCGCATCATTTAATTTCGATTAAAAAAAAAACTACTAAGCGCAGCCCTAAAGTAAACATTTTGTTTTGACGTGCATTTTAATGTAGGGTTGCATCAAATCTAAATTTACTGGCAAATATCATCTAGTTTTTTTAAAATTCAGCTTTGAAGTTTTCAGAAAAGTTAAAAACGGACTGAACATTTAAGTTTACATGGGTATATTTTTTTTTTAAAAGAGATAGCGATCTTCGGNTTTAGCTCAAAATACTGGGGAAAATGTTTTATGCATTACATGTAGTGTATCTTTCTTTCGTTCGTGCGCCAAAAAGATGTAGTTTCATCTTAAGTTTTATAGGTACAGTTAGGAAGGGATAGATATGATGCTGATATGATAATATCTCTATCATAAAACTAACAGTTACCAGTTTAAATGGGTAGTTCTACAAATCAGGGAATTTTACGAGGCTCAACTTGCAGCTCCTTAAATTACCAATTAATAGTTTTTGTTTTAGGGTATTAATAAAGTTTAACTCACATAGTACTTGGTCACTGAATTTCAACACGTTTTAATAAAAACATCCCAGACAAAAATGGCTTCAAATGGGAAAAATTCTCATTTCCCTGTGGGGTGACATTCCAGAATTCATGATGTAAATCACAATAAAAAATATATAAAAATATAATTAGTCAAAAATAACATTGTATTGAAAGTAACCATTAGTACATCTTTCATTTAACCTATATGGATTATGTTTGAATTCCCTATTTACATAATTTTTTGATTGCTGAACAAAGGCGACACGAATTAAGTATCACTTCCCTGCCACCTATAAACACGTTAAAATCTGTAACAAAACAAAGGGTAAGCCACGTTGTCGTTCTTATGTATTTAAGTATGCAGTTAAGTTCGCCTAGTGAAACTTTTATTTCGCCCAAATCGTCAGTCAATTAGACGCAGCTACGCTGTTATCATCGTCTGTCGTGTCTGGGCCAGACAACTTCTCACTCATCTGTTACGTATTTATAACAGTATTTTATATTATTTTAGGGCAATTATATTTAACAATATTGTTAAACTCGCTTGCGTCCATTGACTGATAATATTAAATTTGATATGAAGTTTATGTAATTCATGATTTTGGCAAAATACATCAATAATCTCACTTCCCTGTGTATCATTTCCCTGTGTTTACGAAGAAAATGGAAAAGTTAGTATCGACTAACCAGCAAAACTTACTGTTATATAAAGTCAACAAACAAATACACTAAGTGCAGGCAAATGCATACACTCCATTGAAACTGGATACTCCATTTTGACTTGCTTGACTCTATACAAACTTTTAGCTGTTTTTGCAGTAACGTGTGCGAGCACTTCCAAAAAGGCATTGTAAAATATTCTTCCATGAAAGCAAATGTTGATGACGCTTAAACTGAATCTGAAACTGAGACCAGTAATGCCTGCAANGTAGGTTTTGATTCCTTTGCGAGTGTCGAAAATTTGTTGAAAATATCGACATAATCGGCTGTATCTTTTGATTGGCTTGGCTTAGAAGTTTGATATTTTCACAGCTTAAAGGGACAATAGACCTGAGTATTTCATGTGAATTTCAGCTTGATACGTTCACGCGTTCTTGAGATAAAGGGTCTTGACAGACGGACGGACGGACAACAAAGTGATCCTATAAGGGTTCCGTTTTTTCCTTAAGAGGTACGGAACCCTAAAAATGAGAAGGTATGCGAGGTAGCCTTGTTTAATTTCCTAGGAATAACTGTAGACTCACACCTGAACTGGAAGGAGCATATTAATCTTGTATGCCAAAAACTCAGTCGATACGTATTTGCCCTCCAAAGGATACGCCAAACTATTTCTTTTGATGCAGCTATGGCTGCGTATCATGCCTATGTCTCATCGGTGTTAGGTTATGGCTTATTTTCAACCNTTTGTAAAAACCCATCCATATTATTTCAAAAAACGCAGTGATGTGATAACCCGTCAAAAAAGAGCTAAATTCGCAAACCTATTGTTTAAACCCCAATGCCACAAAGTAATATACGAGTATGTATAAGAAAAATGTTTATAATATGTGTATAGAAATATATAACAATTTACCTGAAGAACTAAAAGTACTTGAAGGGAATGTATTTAAGAAGAAATTGATAAATTGGTTACTGAGCCATGGTTTTTATAGCATTGATGAATATTTTAACTTAAATAGATAGTGTATGAATTTTATTGTGGCATCTACATTTAACTTTTGACATTGTAAATTTATTATACGGAAATATTAATACATTAATTTGATTTGTGACATTGTATGTTAAATAATAATCTGACTGATAAAATATTTGTA